ATTTTATCCTACAGTTGATAGGAAAACACTAGGGTTGGTTGAGTAGGGGAGTCACATGACCACATCTTTTCTTAATGCAGCCTACTTTGACAATAGTGTGTAGGGTAGGCTGCAGTGGAGATGGGCTTGAGGCAGGGAGACCAGCTAGGAGGTTTTTGAAATAACCAGCCAGAGGTGATGAGTATCTGAACTAAAGTGATAGCTCTGTGAGTAAGGGAAGGAATCAGATGTAAGAGAAGATGTGAAGGGAGAATTGGCAAGATCTGCCAGTTTATTGGATGTGTGGAGTGAGGGAGGGGGAGTCCATGCTGAGGTGATGAACCTCAGACCCTGGAAGGATCATGGGTTTGTTTGCTTTTTTTTTTTTTAAAGAAATAAGGAAGTTTGGAAATGGGGAGAATTTTAGGGAAAAGATGATGACCTCATTTTTTAACATGTTCAGTATAAGATGTCTCTGGGACATTCATTTTGAAAACTCCAATAGACCCAATAGGAGATATAGGCTGGATATATAGACCTGGGAGTCGTCAGCATAGAGATGATAGTTAAACCATGAGAGGTGATGAGGTGGTGGTGGTTGTTGTTTGTCCTTCCTTCCCAAAGAGGACTATGATATCAGGAAGATGATGCCATGACTTGCAAGTAAACTGGATTTAAATGAGGCAGGGCTGTGCAGGGTCACCAGCCTCATTTTCTCTTCTGGAGCCATCTGGGTCCAGTATACCTGATATAGATCAGGAAGACTGGAGATGGATTCCAATGACATTACCTAAAGAGGGGCTACAGAGGGAGTAGAGAAGAGGGCCTAGAGCAGAACCTTGTGGAACAAACACCTACAGCTAGGAATCATGATGTGGATGTAATAGAAAGAGGGCCAGACACAGAATTAGGAGAGCAGGCCTGATTCTGCTGCTTTCTAGTTGTGTGATACTTTAAGGACTTCAGTGTCTTCATCTACCAAATGCGGATAAAAGTACTTGCACTCGTCACAGGTTAAATGTGGGGGAAAGCACTTTATTATTCTTTGGCTGTTCCATTGACTTTGGTGCACAAAATTTCAGATGGTTATATGTATGTGTGAGGTAAACAGGAAGAGAGAATAGCATAGAAGTGTGATACTCAGATGGATATTCCTTCATCCATTTTTCACTAAGTGTTCTAGTTGTCCCTACTCTGGGGACTTTGTAGCAGAAAATCCAGGGGTCCCAGTGTTCCCTTCATCCTTTCTTCCTCACTCTCTAAGGCACTCTTCTTACTTTATAAATTCCTTACCTCTTTTTCCTTCTCCCCTCTTTCCCTTCTGATCCCCAGGGCTGTGGTTTTTGCCTTAATTCAATATTAACCAGCACCTGCTTTTTACTAGGTACTGAGATCTAAAGACAGAAATGAAATAGCCCCTGTTCTCAAAGATCTCATGTTTTACTGAGGGATACAGAGTATACCCATCCGGTGTAACGCTTGTCCATGTCCTTGCATAAATGATGACTTAAGTGCAAAGGTGGGAAATAGTGAGACTGGGGAGAAGCCAAAAAGTTATAGATTATCTAGAAGCCTATATGCCTCTATATCATGAACACTTTCTTGAAGAAAAGATTCAGTAAGTGCTGAACATGGTGAGCACCAAACAATATTTTAAAGAATGAAATTAATTATATTTTAATGGACAAGAAAAGGATTGTTATTGATATTAGTTATCCCCAAATCAGCAATTTGTATGTAGTCAGACTGTTGACTCTTCAGAGCTAATAATAGTATTAGTGAAAAATAGTAATAATGCTAATTAGAAAAAATATGATGTATAATTAAAACAGTTTAACCCTGAACTGTTTAAACAAATAATTGTAAATCAGATATGGAAAATAAGCAACAAATAACATTGAAAGTGGCTATAATAATTTTATTCTCAAGTTTAACCAATGTAAATTAATTACCACCAGAAGAAGACTGAAATATCTCAGAAAGTGCCTTAGTTGGCAGATATCTGACTTCTTTGTCAAATCGAGATAGATGGCTGCTGAAGACAATTCTTGGGTTAGAATATAAACTAGTTTGCAAAATCTTATGAAGAAAGATGATGGGTGATTATGAGAAATATCTCATAAAGAAGAGTGAAGCAGTGGAGGGAAAAACCAGTTTAAAGAAAACTTGGCAGGATATCCAACAAAGTCATTCTGAGGACAATTATGGATGAAAATGCAAGGAGAATTGCAAATGGAAGAAAGATACAAAAGATTAGCAAAAGTCCTAACAAACTTTTCTTCATCAAAGACAGTGGAACCATCACCCTTGACTCCAACATCACAGTGCCAGATGGGGTTATAGAGGAAGTAAAAATAACACTAATGAGAACAAATAAAAGAAAAAAAGGCATATTAGGCCAGGTATTTACAGAGGAAATCTGTGCTGGCAGTGGCTCAAGTGCAAGGACATTGAGGTGTTTGAAGAAGGGGAAAATACCAGAGGAATGAACAAGTACTGGGCTTTATTAATATCAATAAAAAGAAACCGAGAGAGCATTGGTAACTACTGAGTAGATGTATGTGCTTACTCTTCCACCTATACAGAATCTTTATGAGAGTCATCTGTACCTGCGTTTAAAGAATCTTCATTAAGGGTATTAGTAGGGAACAGGGAGGCTTTCACAAGCGATGTTCAAAATGAACCACTTTTTACTATTTCACAATTAACTGAAAGACGTAGAGAACATAAGATCTCTGTGCTTATTATTTGTTGACTGTCCCCCTTCCTGCTCCCCCCCTCAAAGTCATTGATTTGGTAGAACAAAATTCTGCCTTACAAGTGCTTTTATTATATATCCTTTCCCCATACATCAAAATCAGTGAAGATTCCTTGAATTATATAACATAAACAACCCTGTCCAGGGGGCTCTCTGATTAGAAACATCAGGTGAGGTATAAAACAGGGAAAGGTATGCTTGCTAACGATGCTCACCACTGTAATGAAGGTGATGCAGTGGAGGGTCCAGATTGAAAAGGAATTCTCTGGATGGTGAAGTCCTCCATATGTTATAAATAATATTATGTTTATTGCATTGAGACTTAGAACATTGCAGAGCCTATTGGAAGAATTCTATACTCACTCAAAAGAGCTTGGCATGACATCTGTACAAGAAAAACTAAATGTGCAAAATCAAGTCAACAAGCATTTCTTAAGTACCTACTATGTGCCATGCATTGTCATAAGTGCTGAGGGTGCAAATAAAGGCAACAGACAAACCCAGTTCCTGCTTTCAAGGAATTCATAGTCTAATGGGGGAGACACCATAGTTATGTATGAACAAGAGATGTATACAGGAGAAATTGAAGATAATCTCCAATGAAAGGCATTAAGATTTAGCAGAACTGAGAAAGTCTTCTTGCAGAAGATGAGACTTGAAGGAAGCCGAGGAATTGAGGATGCAGAGATGAGGAAAATGAAAGCTCCAGACATGGGGCATAGTTGGTGAAAATGCCTGGAGCTGGGCAGTGAGATGTCTTAAGAGATGAAGAGTAGGGAAGCCAGCTCCACTGAATCACATAGTGTATAGAGGGGACTAAGGTAGAAGAAAACTACAAAAGGGCTAGATAATGCGTCTTACAAGTCAAATCAAGGATTTTATTGTATCTGAACCTCCGGTTAGTAGGGAGCCACTAGAGTATGTTGAATGGGGGAATGACAGGGTCAGACTTGTGCTTTAGGAAGATCTTTTAGACAGCTGAGTGGAAGATGGAGTTAAGAATGAAACCCTGGTTGCAAGCCTGTGTGACTGAGAGTATGGTGGTTCCCTTGACATTAATAGGGAAATTAGGAAGAAGGGAGAGTTTTAGGAAAAATAATGAGTTCACCTTGGACATGTTGAGTTTAAGACATCTAGTTTGAGATATCCAGTAGGCAGTTGGAGGTGCAAAACTGAAGATCAGGAGAGAGATTAGGGCTGGGACAAATAAATCTGAGAATCATCTACAGAGAGATGATAATTGAATACATGGGAGCTGATGAGATCACTAAGTGAGATAGTATAGTGGGAGAAAAGAAGAGGGTCCAGGACAGAGTCTTGGGGGTCACTCATGGTTAATGGCTATGAACTTGGATGATGATTCAGCAAAGGAGCATTCAGACAGGTAGGAGAACCATGAGTGAAAACCTAGAGAAAAGAAATTATAAAGATGAAGAAGGTAATTGACAGTATCACAAATAGAAGAGAGATTGAGAAGGATGAGGATGGAGAAAAGGCCATTAGATTGGGGAGTTAAAGAGATTATTGATAACTTTGGGGAGAGCTGTGAAGAATGAGGTCAGAAGCCAGATTGCAGTGAGAAGAAAGGCAGCAGAGACAGTGATTGTGAAAAGCCTTCTCAAAGAGGTTGACTACAAAAAGGAGGAGGACAGAGGATGATAGTTAATGGGGACAGTTAGATCAGGGGAAGATTTTTTGAGGTTGAGGGAAACATGGTAGGTTTGTAGGCAGTAGAGAATCAGCCAGTAGACAGAGATTAAAAATAGTTGTGTCATTATTTTTCAAATGAGGAAATTGAGGCCCAAAGAACTTTGGTGACCTGCCCATTACCATGTAGCTTGGTAGCACTTCCACTTGATGTTTTTCAGGCCCCCTTTCAGATTAATTATTGCTTAAAACCTTGTGTTTGTGTAGAGGAAGGAGATCTGAGCTAAGAGAGAAGATCTGGGTTCTAGATTTGCTTCTTATTAGCTGTGGCTTTGGCCAGGTCACAAATGGTCTAGTCCTCAGTTTTTTGATCTGTAAAAAATGGGGCTAACAATATCTTCCCTGTGTAGTTCACGTGATTGCTGGGAGAATCAAATGACACCCATGTGGTAGTGCATATGTTCATTTGTTCAACATAATTGCTCATTATGTATACTGTATCTTATAAACTGAAGTTGTTTTTTTTGTGTCTTGAATCTAATGGTTATTTGAAAAACTCAATATTCTTAGCCTTCTAATGACAGAATAAAGTGACCGATTGACTCTTTCTTCTCAGGCTCTTTCTGGACCTCATTATTACACGTGGGGTGATCATGGAGGCATTCTTATGGCCATTGCTCAGGGAATGGAAACCAATCAGCTGAAGTAAGTTACTTTTTTCTGTTTTTTTTTTTCCTTTTGTGTCATCAAATCATTTTCTAGAAATTAAATCAGTGAGCATCAACAGAGAAGAGAACACTCCCCACCCCCCATCCAAGGCTGTAGTCTGACATCTAATACTGTGTGATGGGTCACTTAAGCTTATTTTTCATCCCTTCTCTTATCTGTGAAATGGGTGTTGTTTTGAGGATTAAATGAGATAATGGATATGATTTTTTTTCTTTTTTGATGGAGATGGTGGTACTTCTGGTGGTACTGAAATTCAGTAGGATGCTCCCAGTGTGGAAACTCCATCCACCTATGTAGATCAGTAACTTGTCTGTGCTTTCTGGTCTTAAAGAGTTTGCCTGTTGAACTGCAATTAAGTGACTCGCCCAGGGTCACATGGCTAGTATATGTCAGAGGCAGGACTTGAACCCAGGTATTCCTGACTCCACGGGTCATGGGTGTGATACTCTTTTGAAAATAAAAATAGCATATTGACAATTAATATTAATAAATTTTTGTTATTAAATATAATAACCTGTCTCTTCTTGCTCATACATGCACACATAGACATTAAACTATGTGATGTTTGAATGAATGAAAAAAGTGTTGTGTCCAGGTATTGAAGTAAGGACAAACATTTCTTTTCTTCTCGTAGAATTTCTGATCTAAAAGGAAATTTAGAAATCATTTAGCCCAGTTCCATTCATATCACCAATGAAGAAACTGAGGTCCAGAGAGGGGAAAATGACTTGTTTAAGGTCACACAGCTACTTGCTAGAAGAACCAAGATTACTGTCCAGGTCTCCTATCCAGTGCCTCTTTTCCTAGGATCATGCAGAGAGCTAAAAATGTGTCTAGATCCTCATAACCTCCAACTTCTGCATTGTATCCTGATCTTTGTTTGGCTTTTGCCTGAGTTCCAGATCCCTGAAATATAAGACAGGTGCTGGTGCTCAGTCAGACCAGACTAACCTCCATGTTTCTGTCTCCCATTGAATGGATGATTAGAAGAAACAGCAAGGTCGTCTGGTTTAAGAAAATAAAATGGCCTTTCTCTTCCTTTGTTCCTTCTAGAAGAATGGACAACAGCAAAGAGGGAAGTGGTAGATTTATTTTTTATTAATTTATTTTAATTTATGAATAATCACTTCCATAAGCTTTTGAGTTTTAAATTTTTCTTCCCCTCTCTCCCCACCCTCCCCTACACTTCAATCTGATATAGGCTATACATATACGTTCCTATTAAACATATTTCCACTTTAGTGATGTTGTAAGGAAGAATTAGAACTGATAGAAGGAACCACAAGAAAGAGAAAACAAAACAAAACAGAAGGAAAAAAAAGCAAATAGTATGCTTCGATCTGCATTCAGACTCCATAGTTCTTTCTCTGGATGTGGATAGCATTTTCCATCATGAGACCTTTGAAGATGTCTTAGATCCTTGCATTGCTGAGAAGGGCTAAGTCTATCAGTATTAGTCATCACACAATGTAGCTGTTACTGTGTACAGCGTTCTCCTGGGTAGATTTATTTTTAAAAGGAATCTGAGATTGTAGCATTTATTTGGCTTTCTCCCCTGTGGTTGATGCTGAGGCTGAGGACTGAAGCAGGGATAGATCCCAAAATATGGTGGCAGAGATAGGCGAAGGACTGCGACTCTCCTTCTGACCTTGATTTCTTCTCCCTTTGGTGCTAGGTAAGAATGTTTTTTAAAGCTTTCTGCCTCTGTATCATGAAAAGAATCGACTAGGACAAGAGACAATATGGTATTGTGAAAAGAACCCTGGTCTGGGAGGCAGCAGAGCCAGTTTCTATTCTCAACTCTGCCCCAAAGTCACTTTGACCTTGGGCAAGTAACTTCCCCTCTCTGGGTTTCATCATGGTGACGAGGAAGGGGTTAGACTAAATGATCATAGGATCAGAGATTTAAAGCTGAAGGGGACGTGAAGGCAGCTAGATGGTGCAGAGTACTGGGCTTGGAGTCAGGAAGACCTGAATTCACATCTGGCTTCAGACATTTAACTAGTTGTGTGATTCTGGGAAAGTCACTTGGCTTTTGTCTGTCTCAGTTACATCAGCTCTCACGTGGGGATAATAATAGCATCTGCCTCCCAGAGTTGTGAGGATCAAATAAGAACATAGTTGTAAAGCTCTTAGCACAGTGCCTGGCACATAACAGGCATTCCTTCCCTTCTTCCTTCCTCCTCCCCTCATTTTGCAACATTTAGCACTTGGTACATAGTAGGTGCTTAATAAATGCTTGACTTACAGATAAGGAAATTGAGGTTTTGGCTTTACCTAAGGTCAAAAAGGTAGGATGAGTGAAAGAGTGAGATTGTAAATGTAGGTCCTCTGAATCTACATTGGCATTATCCATTTTTTTAAAGAAGTTCTATGATGTGATGATTTCAATACCCTTCAAAAAATTCATTTTAATTTATCAAACATTTACAAACCACCCACTGTTTGCACAGCATATGTATAGTTATACCTGAAGAGCTTATCTGTGATTTAACTCTTTGTACTGTTAAGTGTGGCGCTATCCTGATTTTTAGATTTGTTAAGAAATTACTGCTTTGTAGTCAACTCTCAGTTTTTCTACATGAAGTTTATAACAACAGTAGTAATGATAGTAACAACTTCTCCTGTTCCTAGTGACTTAAGGTTTGCAGAATACTTTATTCCCAATAACCCTGTGAAATAGGTAGCTCAAGAGTTATTACTCCATTTTACAGATAATGAAACCACAACTCTGAGAAGTTAAATGACTGCTTCCTGGTCATAAAGGTAGTGTTTAAGGTGGAATTTGAATATTATTCTTCTTATTTGCACACATAGTACACATAGTATTATATCATACCACCTTGCCTCTGAATTTTCTTATTTCAGCATTTTGATCCCAAGGTTATTTCCTTCTCTGGGCTACCTTCACTATCCAATTATCTAAGGGTGTGTGTCTGTGTATATGCATGCTGTAAGGATGTAGAATCATTTAAAAATTTCCTGAAGTAAGACACCATTAGAGAGATAATTCGTTTTCAAAAACAAATAAAACCCAAACCAATAACCCAAACCATAATGTCCCCCATATGCAAATGTAAATGGCTTTTGGATTATCTGTTGTTTGGGATTATTTAAACCAAGTCTCCCCTCTTATTATTATGAATTGCTGATGTTTAAAAAAAGGAAGGCTTAAGGGATATGTATGTGAGTGTGTATGTATGTATGTGTGTACATATATATGTGCATATATCTGTATCTATATATATAAATATATGTGAATATGCATCTGTACATATATGCACATATAATTACACATATATGTATATATAAAATAGCTGTCATCAGGTACTTGAAGGGCTGTCATATGGGAAAAGGGATTTGAGCTGCTCTGCTTGGCCTCAGAAGACAGAACAAGGAGCAATGAGTGGAAAGTATAGATGGGTAGATTGAGGCTTGATGGTCGAAAGGAAAAACATTGCAACAATGAGAACTATTGAGAACTGGAATAGGCCACCTCAGGGTGTAGAAGGCCCCCCCCTTTTCTGGAGGCCTTTAAACAAAGGCTCAGTGATCACTTTTCAGGAATGTTGTTGAGGGAAGGGGGGGGTGTCCTTTTTTCAGGTCTGTGTTGGACTAGATGACCTCTGAGGTCTCTTGCAATTCTAAAATTCTGTGTCTCCAAATTTTTGCCATAACCTAGAGCTACACTGAAATCCCTGAAGATGCCCCAGCCCCTCTCTCCAAAGCTAGACCGGGCCCTGATAGTTGTGTTTTTTGGGGTGACTTTAGGGTTTCAGTCAAAAGTGGAACCTCCTGTGGTCTCCCTAAGTCTTTGAGCTGAGGGGCAGAATGCTGCAGGCATGGTTGTCCCATGTGCAGTAAGGGAGATGTTTGGGCTATGAGCTTAACTTTTGACCCATGCTAACCTAGCCAGTGGTCCGCTTTCATGTGCTGGGACCTTCACAGGAGGTGCTGGGGATATACCCCTATGAAAGCCCTTCTCATCTCTTGGGAAGATTGATTTTTTTTTTTGGCAAGTCAGAAGTGTCATCATTAAGCATATCTTTATGGTGAAGGCAGACTCTATGAGAAGAAGTGGAAATTGTTCTCATATCTCATGATCAGGCTGGCAAATCAAATTTTGACCTGTGAATCATCCGTTGTGATCATTTCTTTTTTTATGCTGAGTGCCAAGGCATTCTTCCTGTCTCCTGTCCCCAAGAACCGTGCTTGTGGACAGAGCACAGGATGCTTATTAAGCTTGAGCCATATCTCCAGCCAGCTATTTAAAATGAAAGAGGAAATGAATCATCAATATAGGATTCTTTACTTTTTGCTCAAAGACATAAAAAGTACCATTTGTTCTATTACCTGTTCCCAATTTCAGTGAATGAGAATAAGAAAAGGTTACAGACTCAATGAGACATTGGGACAATTGAGCAGATTCAAAAAACAAATCAAAATAACTTCAACTTATTACTTAACTGTATGTACTACGTAAGAAATTCAGAACATCTCAAATGTTCATTTTAATCAGTAGGTCTGTCTTTATGTTTACATCTGGTCTTTGACCAGAGATGCTACTGTTGGGATACTGAAGACCCCAGTTATCATACAGTGGAATATCATATAATGGAAGTGAGGGCAGGGCTACTACTATAAGACAGGAAATAAACCTGATGACTCAACCCACTTCTTTCCCACCATGAGTTAGCGTTCTGATGGAAGCTAAGTGCTAGGTTTATAAAAATAGGAGTTCTAGCCTCTGGCCCTGAGAGTTGGCTAGTTCAGGGACAAATCCTTTAGGAAAACATGCTTCCAACAGTTTGGGGAACAGATATTCTTCCAGCAGAGAGGGTTGAAAAATTTAACAAAGGAAAATGGTTCATAAAGGAGAAGATAACCTTAAAAAATGAAATTCTGATAATGTAATTTTTCTAACTGTCCCCAGTGAAGAAGGGAACAAACAGCTGGGGGAGTTTTCAAGCAGACTGGGTAGATGATTATTTCTCAGCTGTACAAAGGGGTTTCTTGTTCAGGTGTTGTTTGGACTAAGGGGTCTCTGAAATTCCTTCTTATTCTGAGCGTCCGTGATGTCTTTGGGGTTTGTTCTCCTCCATTGTTCCTTGGGAAGTCAAGTCAGGAAATACCAAGAGTAGCAGGCTACTTGATGAGCTGATGGAGGTCTTGGGGACAAAAACACCCCCAAAACACCAAAAGACTTGAGTGATGATGAATTGGTATCATAAAGTCCGCAAGCTTTGGTGACCCCTTCTGAGCCTTTTCCTATTCTTTCAATTCTGCTTATGTCAAAAGTTATGAGATTCTTGCAGAATTAGGTGAAGCTCACCTGTCTGAGGCTTCAGTCCCCTTCCAGCCTGACTTGTTTTACGTTTCCTAGGGTCTCTGAATTGGAAGGGACTGAAGAAATCATTGAGTTCAATTTGAGACTATTCTCTTTGATAGAGAATTGAATAGTTCTCTTCCTGTGGCTCCTCTCAACATTATGCATTCTGCTCCAGGCTGTAGCTTCATTGTACCTTCATTGTCTTCCTGCTCTGAAAATTGTTTTAAAAGTTACTCTTGCTGTGCTTTTGAAAGTACTTTCATAGACCTCACTTTATTCTGGGTCTGTTCATGTTTGGTGAAGTGCCCATCCTTCCATTCTGTGTGTACGTGCCCTTAAGTGGTGAGCTTGTTAGGGCCATTCCCATCACAGTTTTGTAGTTTTCTTTGTCATATAAATAGAATTATAAGAGACTTTACAAGTTACCTTGTCCAGCCCATACTTGTTCAGTAAGTACTTCTGCAGGGTCACTGACTGGTGTCACAGACAAACAGCAGCCTCTAAGGACATCACAAAATCCAGCCCCTCTTTCAGAGATGCTCAACTTTGATTGTATTATGGATCCCTTTGACACCTTGGTTAAGCCTATGGACCCCTTCCCTCAGAATTAATGTTGTTAAAGGCATAGAATGAAATATATAAGATTAGAAAGGAAATCAGTTACATTGAAATACTGTTATAAGTATTTAAGGGTTCATAAAGGCGATTATAAATATGGTTATAAGAACAAGTTCACAGACCCTTGGTAAGAACCTCTTCTTTATTTGAAGACTTGTGGTTGAACAGCTGTTGTTGGACAGTTCTAATTGTCAGGAACCCCAAATGACCTCTCTGCAACTTCCACCCACTGATCCTAACAAAACAAGTCCTACTACTTAACAGCCTTTCAGATACTTGAAGATAGCTATCATGTTCCCCCTCTACCCTTCTCCAAACCCAGATTTTTTCAACCAACCTTCTCATGTCAGAGTTTTGAAACTCATCATCTTGGCCACCTTTCTCTCAACATTCTCCAGTCTGTGCATATCCAACCCCAAAATGTAGAGCCCAGAGTTAAGTACAGTATTACAGATGTGGTTTGACAAGGGCAGAGTAAAATGAGACTATTATTCCCTTTGTCAGGGGTGTTATGCTTTTTTAATGCAACCTTAGTTTATATTAACTTTGTTGGCTACCATGTTTTTCTTCTGACTCATTGAACTTACAGTCCTCTAAAACCCGAGGTCCTTTTCACAGAAATGGTTGCAAAGCCATGTCTCATACTGTCCCATACTTGGGAGGTTGATTTTTCTTGAATTCACGTGTAAGACTTGAACCTCAATAAGAATTAATTTAATACCCATCATTCTGCCTTCTTGAGATCTATTTTTTTGTCTGATGGTGTTGTTCAGCATAAAATGTCTGTCCCCCTTTCCCTTCATTGGGGATAGTTAGAAAAATTTTATTATCAGAATTTCATTTTTAAGGTTATCTTCTCCTCTGTGAACCATTTTCCTTTGTTAAATTTTCCAATCCTCTCTGTTGGAAGAATATCTGTTCCCTAAACTGTTGAAAGCATGTTTTCCTAAAGGATTTGTCAGTGACCTAGCCAATTCTTAGTGGCAGAAGCTAGAACCTCTTCTGTTTTTATATCCCCAGCACCTAGCATGATGCCTTATACATAGTAGGTGCTTCTTAGATATTTGCTAGATTAGACTGATGCAGTAGAAAGCACACTGACTCTGGAGTTAGAGGAGTTGGATTCAAATGACACTTCTGATTATTACCAGCTTAGTATGACCTTGGACAAGTCATTTAAACTTGGGCCTCAGTTGCTTTATCTGTAAAATGAGAGGGTTGGGCTAGGTGGCTCCTTGCAGCTCTATATCTGTGATCCCTAAGTTTAGGCTTTGTATTTGACTGGGTCTGTTTTCTCAGGCATTGTCAGAAGTTCGTCTGCTACTCAGTCCAAGGGTATTCCGACGTGGCCACATTCTCCTAAGGTTCTGTTAGCTTCCATTCCATTAATCTGTTACATTGTTGATTTGAATCGATAACAGCTATAGTTTCCATTTATATTAAGGTTTGTGAAGGTCCTTTTATTACTTACTTTACCATCTGTAGTTGATGCAAACCTCCTCCCCTCCTTTATTTTTCTTTCTAGAAATTCTGGAAAATAGTTTTCTTTTAAATGAGCAATTTTGTTTGTAGCAACAGGCCTGTGCTTGACCGTGCATTTGCTCGTTAGCCTCATTAATGCATTATTGGTTGGGTTCTTCTAGTTTCTCCTGGGAAATGAAATGATTCGTCTCTTGAGGTTAGCTAGAGTTGGAGGAACTTATAAATAGAAATAATTAGGCAATGTGCAAAAGACTGGATTTCCAGTATTATTATTACAGAGCAGACAAACGCTGCTCATCATTTCTGCCAAGCAAGACAGCTCCATTAGATTTGTATGTATGGGAGTGGATGTTAAGCCATTACAAAAACCACAGGTAAGGAAGGGGATTGAAAAGGTCAGCTCATCCCTTCTTCTATTTTGAACCATCCCAGAAGATGAAGATTTCTCCTTTTGTTAAAACCTTGAAGGAAGGCATTTCTTCAGCTTCCCTCTGCCATTGCCTAATGATCCTCACCATTATTAGGTTCTTTAGGATAAAGCTAAATCCTTTCCATTGTGGGGTGTTATATGTGGATAAAAATCAGAGTACAATAGACATTACGGTTTCGTGTGCATCTGAAATGATTTCAACATATATAGATTTTTAAAATTACACATAAATATACATGTTACATATAGATATAATTTATAATATATAACTTATAAATGTATAAAATGTAATTTATAATATGTAATTTATGAATATATCAGATATATAACATATATTTCTTATGGTCCTATTTATTATGCCAGACCCAGTGTTCAGTGCTTGAGGGACACAAAATTATTCTCAGTCAATCAGTAAGCATTTATTAAGCATCTGCTATGTGCCAGCACATTGTGCTAGGTTCTAGAGATGCAAAGATGAAAACCAAACTATTCCTGTACTTAAGGAACCTACATGCTCTTGCAGGAGACAATATGTGCATGTATAAATATAGAAAAATAAACAAATACAAGGGAGTTTCCATGAGGGAGACATCAGTATCTGGGTCTTACTCACATGAATTGTTATGAAGTGATGCTTCTCACTGTCCTATACTTGTGAGCTTATTTTTCTTGAACCTAAATAAAAGACTTAAGCTTTAATAAGGATTAATGTAATATCTGTTATTCCTGTATGTGGAGGTGGGTGTTTTTGGTTACTGCTTGTGATTATCCAACATAAGATCCTGCTCTCTTTTCCTCCATTGGGGTCACTGTATCATCAGATTTCATTTTATATACTGCCTCATCCTTTGTGGTCCTTTTCCTGGGAGTCAGGAAAAGCCTCATATGGCAGGTGGTGTTGGAGCCCAGCTTTGAAGGAAATTAGGAATTCCAGGAAGTAGAGGTGAGCAATGGAATGTGTCCTAAGCATGGGGTGCAGTGGGGTTGGGGAGGGCAGGACACAATCTGTGCAAAGTCATGGAGTTGAGATATGAAATGTTGTGTAAGAGTTAAGTCAGAAGGCCAGTTGGCTGGACCATGGAGTGTGTGAGGGAGAGTAATAAATGCATAATAAGCCAGCAAAGGCAGGTTGGAACTAGATTGTTAAAGCTTTAATGCCAAACAAAGGAATTTGTTTTTGGAGCTCACATTCTAGTGGTGGGTGAATAACATCTGTACAGCAATCAATAGGATATAAGGTAAAATGTTATAACGGTAAAAGATGAGTTCAGTTGATTTGCTGTAAGAAATCTGAGAAGGGAAAGATCATTTTCACCTGGGATATATCAGAGAAGATGTTATTCTGAAGAACTAAGCCTAAAATCTCAAATACATATGAGAAATGAAGACAGGATGTATTTTGTATGTAATTTGAGATAAAAAAAAAAGATTGTAGAGTGGTTCCTAATCCTAGGTTCCTCATAAGCTCAGTGGAGAACTCACCCTGCAGGTAATTTTTCACAAGGACAAAATTTAATGTTGTTGTAAAAAGTAAACAAAACATGGTCTGTCTTCCTGGGCTTGGTTCCCTGCCCTGAGGCTATTTAGTATAGGGAATTTTAACCTTATGAATTTCCTTGTTTTTGTTTGGGTAGGTACAGTACCAATGAAGGGGAGACCTGGAAAACATTCAGCTTCTCAGAGAAGCCTGTGTTTGTGTACGGGCTTCTCACTGAACCTGGAGAAAAGAGCACCGTATTCACCATTTTTGGGTCATACAAAGAGAATGGGCACAGCTGGCTGATCCTGCAGGTTAACACAACGGATGTGCTAGGTGAGTGAATCTTCAGGGGAGTCATCATCTGCTGCCACCATCTTGGTAATCATTACTGTGTGGGTCTTCAGCACTGATTGAATACCTGCTGTGCACAGAACCCTCTTAAACCAGGCACTCTAAAGGGATGCAGAAGGAAACTATCCTTACCCTCTAGGGGCTTACTGTCTGCTTGGAGAAGGTGATCACAGGTGTAAATAACAAAACAAAAATATCCGAACTCTGCAGAAAAAACAAATGCAGATTAAGGCCTCCATGGAGAGGCATAAAGGAATTCTAGGGGTGAATGAAGTGTTCAGCTATGTTAGTCTCTTACCTCTGTCTCTTACCTCCTTCTTAGGGTAGTATAAAATGCTTTCCAGATAGTGAATGTAAGTCTAATGGTATTATGAAGCCCCTGTGCCATTGAAATCCCATGCTACACTGAAGGGCAGTGTTCCTCAATCAGATTTTCTTCCATGAGTCCAGCTTCTATACATGTCTTTAAGATTTGCCAAGTACCTTATATAGATTATTTCATTTGATCCTCATGACAGCTGTAAGAGGTAGGTGCTATTGTTATCCCCATTTTATAGATGAGGAAACTGAGACTCAGAATATTTATGTAATTTACCTGGAGCCACAGAATTGATAGCAGAGGTAGGATACAATTCTAGGTCTTTCTGACTCCAAATCCAGTACACTTTTCTGCCAGACCCTGGGTCTGTTTCCTCATCTGTAAACACTAATATGTGCTCATGTTTACGTGACTCTCTGAGATTTACAAAGCACTTTCTTGGTAGCAACTGGGGGGGTAGGTAGTGTGAGTAACAGCATCCCTGTTTTATAGATGAGGGGATTGGGAAACCAGGTGACTTCTCAGGGTTACACAGCTAGTGAGTGTCAGGGTCAGGATTCAGCCTCAGGGCTCTTTCCATTACACATTATAAAATGAAGGGCTTAGATGCTGTATTATCTCTAAGGCTCCTTTTATCCCTTGTGTGGTATGGTTATACCGGAGAATGCCAAGGCCAGGGTTCTTCACCTTTGGCAGCCTGATAAAGCCTGTGGACCCCTCAGAAAGTTACTGTTAAATACATGACATAAAATATGTAGGATTACAAAGGAAATAAATTTTTTTGAAATACAGTTACAAAATATTTTTAAAATTTTTACATGTTCTGGGGCAGCTAGGTGGCACAGTGGATACAGCAGCACTGGCCCTGAAGTCAGGAGGACCTGAATTCAAATCCAGCCTCAGACCAAACACTTAACACTTATTAGCTGTGTGATCTTGGGCAAGTCACTTAACCCCAATTGCCTTAAATTTTTTTTTTTTACATTTTCCCCTGAAATCTCTCCACAGATCTCTTGGGGGGAATCCATAGATCCAGGTTTAAGGACCTATATTCTAAGGGAATTTCTTAGATACTTAAGAAATTCTTAGATTCAAAATGTCCCCTTGGACTTAAGATTGGCTGGTGGGTTTATAGCCATTACAACAGCTAAATGAATTTATTTTGATTCAGCAAACATTTATTAAATGCCTACACATGCACAAGGTACCGAGAATACAAAGATAGAAGATTGTCCCTGACTTCATGGCATTGGTATTTCATGGGTGTATGCGTGTGTGTGTGTGTGTGTGTGTGTGTGTGTGTGTGTGTGTGTGTGTGGGAGAATAGGGGATTTACATCATGTACACAAAAAGGTATTAGTTTAGGGAAAACTGAAGAAAGAGAGAGTACTAACAGCTGGAGGGATCAGGGAAGGCCTCACAAAGGCAGCGGCCCCAGTTCTAAGTCTTGAAGGACAAAGAATCATCTAAGCAGGAGTGTGCTAGTAAATGTTTAACTACTGGCCCTTGGGCAGGGGAGGAGTGGAAATGTACACACAATATACTTTTATGTTTAATCTGCATTATTTAATTTTTTTAAGCCTAGTTAATCCACAAAGTGATAAATAAAGCCCTGATTTGTGGCATTTGTCAACTCCTGAGTGTTGGCTCACACTGAAAATTGAAGTTGTTTCTTTAGAGCCAGTATGAGATGGTTCCAGCCCTCCCTGAATTCTGAGAGGCTGAGATGAAGAGGTACTGCATTCCAGATATGGGGGATAGCCCCTGTGAGTGGATGAAGGCAGGAAATGGAGTGTTGAGCTTGGGAATCAGATCATAAACTGGTTTGTCTGGAACATGGAAGATATGAAGGGGAGTAATATTGAATATGTGGCCGCCATATTGTGGAGGGCTTTGAATGCTGCAACAAGGAATTTGGGCAGTGTGCCAGCACTAAAGGTTTTTTGATTGGTGTAGTATTTTTTAGCAATATGGAAAGTGTATTGGGGAGAGGTGAGAGTAGGGACAAGGTGACCATTGAGGAGGTCATTGTGCTAGTCTACATGAATGACGGTGAAGGTCGGTACAGGGTAACAGGTTTGTGAGTGAAGAGGAGAGATTGGATGCAAAAGTTATTGTAGAAGTACAATTGGCAATACTTGGCAACTTACTGGAAATAGGGATGGGGAGGGAGGAAGAGGAGGAGTCAAAGATAACTGAGTTTTTGAATCTAGGTAACTGGAAGGTGGGGCAAGGCTGGAGGGAAGATGATGAATGAGTTAGGAAGTTGAAGCATCTCATGTTGGCAACTTTATGCTTCAGAGTTTTGTTCTTTTTCATTCTTGTCCCCCTCAGGGGTTCCATGCACTGAGAATGACTATAAGCTGTGGTCACCATCTGATGAACGGGGAAACGAATGTTTACTGGGGCACAAGACTGTCTTCAAACGGAGGACTCCACATGCAACATGTTTTAATGGAGAAGACTTCGACAGGCCAGTGGTGGTGTCCAACTGTTCCTGCACAAGGGAGGACTATGAATGGTAAGTGCCAGGAGTCCGTCAGATGGGGGCCAAGGAGAGCCTCTGCACACAACAGATCTACAGGAGCAGCGAGCTGTGGGATGGGCTGCCCTGGTGTGAGCCATTTGGGGTCTTCTCTTTTCCCTAGGAACGCTCTTGGTATGATGAGAAAAAGAACTTCAGTCTTGGCGTCAGGAGACCTTCAGTTTAAATCTTAGCTCTGATGCTTTCCAGCTGTGTGACCATTTTACAGTTGAGGAAACCAAAACTCAAGCCAGGTGAAATTATTTACCCATTCAGGATGTGTCTGAGCTAATATTCTAGGCCAGGTGTCCCAGTCTCCAGATCAGGGATCTTCTCATTGCATTAATCCACCTTCCTCTTGAGTCTAGATGCTCAACAAATTGGAAATTTGTTTCCAAACAATAAATGCATTTCAGCTTCTTAGTTCATTTTTAAGAATGACAGACTCTTGAGAGGTGTTCAGATACTCCGTAGGCATAAAAAAATTGGGGAGCATTGTTAGCTATTGGGACAATAGCTATAATATAGTACCTTTATTTTACATGTGAATGATCAGATTGCTGCCTGGGGCACTGGGGCATCCCCACCACTCACACACACATGCACGTGCACATGCACATGCACGCGTTGCTCCTAACAGAGCTACCCAGGGTTCAGATTGCTCTCATGGATCTGCATCCATAAAGAACAATAGCTCGTGAGCTCTCACCATTGTATTTACTCTTTTTTTAGTCACCCAGTAAACACAGTTAATTCAAAGCACAGTTATTTATTGAAAGAGCTTAGTAAGACAAGTCAGAAGAGACCATTCCCAAACTTGAACTACATCTCCTACAAACGTGCATGATATCGGTGGGGTGAGGGGGTTTGTATAGAAATCATGCATTAGGGGCACATGTGGAGTGAATAACTAATGTTTAAGTAGCACCTACTACGTGCTAGGTGCTATGCTAAGCCCTTCACAAACATTATCTCATTTTGATCCTCACAACAACCCTGGGAGGTAGGTGTGATTATTATCTCCATTTTACAGTTGAGGAAACTGAGATGGTGGTTAAGTGACTTACCTAAGGTCACCCAGCTAGTAAGTGTCTGAGGCCAGATTTGAACTCAGATCTTCCTGACTGCAGGCCCAGCACTCTACCCACTGTACTGCCTAGGTGCCAACTCTTAACTTCTAGTGCTGCTAGTCCACTGACATTTCCTAGTGATGCCATTGTACTGTCCTCATTGGGCCTGCCCCTTCCTGGGTACGTTGTCTCTACTGGGTGTGATGTTACCTTTTCCCTGCTGGTCTTGTGATGGTTGCTCAACGTGATAGTTTCTGGTGGTGGTGTGGTTATCTGCCACCAGCTTCTGGGCTCCATCTCTCAAGGACCGACCACTTCCTGACCATCTAGTTCTAGTTATGCTACCCTGGCTAGTGGCTAGTGGCCAGATTATTTTCCTGTGAAAGGAGGCAGAGAACTCCGTAGTCATGGCCACCACACCCATCTGAGAAAAGCCAGGCAGAGCAGTCCTTTTCCAGGGAAAGGTTAAGTCTTTTCTACCACTAAGCTTAGAGGTCTGAGCTCCCTTTTTTGGGTAGCTGTTCCACTTAAGGTTAGACATGCCCAACATTTTCTTTGGCTTAACGTACAAGCAGAATGGAGGCAGAACCAGAGTTAAGTCCAGGTGGCCACATCTTTGTCTTCCACCTGTATTCCTGCCTTTTTTTAGGCATATCTGACAGCCGCAAAACCCCTTTGCTTTGGGTTCTATCTTTTGGGCAGCAGAGAAACCTAGTTTTCTCCTTGTATATCGAATATACACATACAGGGAAACTCTGTTGAGGTAGGTAGATTTATTAATGGTAGATAAATGAAAATTTTCTGTGAGTTGTACATTTATGGGGAAATCCCCTTTGACTCACAAAATTTTAGAACTAAAAGGGACTTTAAAGATAATCTAGTCCAATACCCACTTCCATTTACAGATGAAGAAAATGAGTTTGAGTGTGCTCTGCTATCAAAGACAGACCCATGTTTGGGGATCACCCGGCCTGCCCCCTAGACTGTTAGAGCTGGAAATAATCTTAGCAGCCATTTAGTCCATTAATGGGCTAAGCTCATCCGTTTTGTGTGTGGCAGTGCTGGGGACCAGAGGCCTGTGGAGGTTCATTCATTCAGTCAGTGTATTTTTTAGTACATACCATGTGTCCTCTCAAGTGACCTTTGAACTGCATCTCTATATGAAGCAAGGGATGGGTTTCCTAATCCCTTTCTCCCCCAAGTCTTAACTCTGTCTTTTTTTCCAGTGATTTTGGCTTCAAGATGAGTGAAGATCTATCATTAGAAGTTTGTGTTCCTGATCCTGAATTTGCCAGTAAATCCTTCTCCCCTCCTGTGCCTTGTCCTGTTGGCTCTACTTACAGGAAGACAAGAGGGTATGTACTGTGAGAGTTCTTACGGCATCACATGGCAGGAGGAGCCTGGTGTTCGGTTATCACAGACAGACTTGTATTCGGGGGTTCCCTGACCCACCCCCAGAACATTAGAGTTGGAAGTGATTTCAGCAGCCACGTAGTTCAACCCATACCTGAACAATCAGCATGGCAGCTACCATTGGGTAGTTCTAATTGTTAGGAAGTTTTTTTTTTCTCCCAGATATCAAGCCTGTAGTTGTTTCTTTTCAGCTTCTACTCATTGGTCCTGGTTCTGCCTCCTCAATTCTTCACATATTTAGAAGATAGCTAGGTGGTGCAGTGGCTAAAGCCTTGGTCCTGGAGTCAGGAAAGTCTGAGTTCATGTCAGATCAAATCATAGCCTTAGATGCTAGCTGTGTGACCCTGGGCAAGTCACTTAACTTCTGTCTGCTGCAGTTTCTTTATCTGTACAATGGGAATAGTGGTAACACCTATCTCCCAGGGTTATGATGATGACAAAAAGAGTTAATATTTGTAAAATGAGTTGCAAACTTTAAAGCACTATATAAATGCTAACTATTACAACATTATTATCTTCTCTTCCCCCTCTCCCCCAAGTTTTCTCTTCTTAGCTAGATATTCCTGGTTTCTACACTGTTGCCCTCTGCTGGATACTCTCTCAAATACTGCTGTTCATCTTAAAGAATGGTGCCAAAGTCTGGAAATGGTACTTTAGATGTGGCCTGGCCAGGGCATAGTCCAGCAGTACTGTTGCCTCCGTATTCCCGGAGGCTCTGCTTCTCTTAAGGAGGCTCAAGAACCCATTGTGGCTTTCTTGGTTTTGCAGTTATCATACTTGTGAGTTGACTCCTGAATCTTGTTTAGTCAAACTACTGTCTAGGCTTGTCTCCCCCATCTTCTGGGGCAGTCAGATCTTGGAGTCCAGCTACGAGATTCCACATTGACCGCTAGTGGATTCATGCCAGTGCTCCAGCCTGTCCAGGTCTTTTTGGCTCCTGATTCTCCTTCCAGCCTTGTGCCATCCGAAAACTCCACAGACATGCTGTTTATGCCTTTATTTGGGTCATGGATAAAGACAGGCTGGGGCCCAGCCTCGATCCTTGGGACACTCCATTGGGTTCTTTGTTGCCAACTGACACGAAGGCATTAGTGAGTCCCACTCTTGGAGTCCGGTCACTTGACTAGTTCCAAATCCGTCCATCATGCTGTCGGCATGTCCACGTCACCGCTTTCCTACCAGAATCGCATGAGAGCCTTTCTCAGATGTTTTGTTAAAATCTAGGTAAAGTAGAGAGGTAGCATTCTAGCTTAGTAAATGCTGTCCAGAAAGGAAATAAGGTTCATCTGATCTGACCTGTTCTTGAGGAAGTCAGACCAGCTTCTTATAGTTAGAGCTTTCCGTCTTAGGTAGCCGCTAACCAGTTCTTTAATACTCTGGTCTAGAATTCTTCTGAGAATCAGTCAAACTCCCTGTTTTGTACTTTGCAGACTCCATTCTTTTTCTCTCACATTGGAACATTTGCCCTCCCACATTGCAGTAATGCCTCTCCTATTCTCCACCATCCTCCAGATATCCCACTGGCTCAGTAATCACAACTGCCAGTTCTTTTCAGTGCCTGAGGATATAGCCCATTATCCTACTATGATATTATTATCTCCTCTTTTCTTCATCTTTCCTCCCACCCACCAAGTTTTTTCTTATTGGTTAGATATTCCTAATTTCTTTGATTGATTGTCACGTGGCACTTATGACTGTTTGTTATTTTACTTGTCCTCTGCTGGACGTTGTCTAGAATGTTATTGTGCTTCCTAAACAGCAGTGCCAGGATCTGAATCAGTACTTTAGATGTGGTCTGGCCAGAGTACAGTGTGGCGAGAGTCTATGATGAAGGCCATAGTAAAGCATACCCTCGTCAGGTCATAGTATATGTCACCCAGATGACTTGAATTCCTCCTGGGTAGCTGGATATTCTCTTATTCTCTCCCAGTTTATCTTGGGTGGCAATTTCTTTGCGAGTCATTTCTATCCTTTCCTTTGCTAAGGACATTCTTAGCAGATAAGACTGAAGCAAAGTAAGATCTCAGGAGCCCTGTCTCTCTCTGTTGTCAGTTGTCATTCCATTCACCCCTAAAACTGCTCCTGCCCCTTTTCTGACCTCTTCCTTTTTCCTGCCCCTCTGAACAAAAGGTCTCCCTTTGTGGTCCTTGGCCTTCCTCCCCACCTCTGCCCGTTCTGAGTTCTAGTATTCCTGACGTTATTCCAGGACTATGCTGGGCTTTTCGGGTCAACCTCCATTGCCTCTCCTTGCTTCCATTTTCCATCGTATCTCTTGAAAACCCTAGGCTGATTGTTAGTGAGTTCCATATGCATCTGTGTAGATCCCTTTAGATAAATCTCTATTCATTTTCATTGTAATTATTTCCTTTTACATCCCCCGAGTTTCAGTCTTGATGGCTTCCTATCTCTCTTAGGATGACTTATTTCCCTTATAAAATATTAGTCTACATTTGGAATCTTGCTTATACTTTGTAACCTTTTGAAATTTATAGTCTCTAAACCTAGGGTGCAAATTAGAATATATCTAGTTTTGCCTCTACTCTGTCACAAGCTCTAGGGTCCCATCAGAAGCATGTGGTTCACTGGGTAGACCTGGAGTCAGGAAGACATGAGTTCAAATCCAGCCATAGACTCTTATTGGCTGTGTGAAATTGAGCAAGTCACTTGACCTCAGTCTCAGTTTCCTCATCTGTAAAATGAACTTAATAGCAGCTGCTTCCCAGAGTTGTAAGGATCTAATGAGATAGTTGTAAAGCTCTTAGCACAATGCCTGGCACATGGTGTTATATTATTATTATGTTTATTATTATTATTAGCTAAGATAGTGCTTAGCACAATGCCTGGCACATAGTAAGGACTTAATAAATGCTTATTCTCCACTGTTCCCTCTGTCATTTCCACCCCAGTACCCAGATTGTCCCTGGTAGCAAGAATGAAATCCAGAATAAAATTCCCTGCTTGTTGGTTCCTTCAGTTCTTGAAGGCAAAATCATCATTAAGGAAGTTAAGAGTCAGTGTTGGTTCCCAGCTTCCATTCCCTTTTTCTAGGCTGTAGGAGATTCCTCCTATTTGCCTTCAGACCAGTGTCCTCTCTGCTTTATGAGTTGTCTTCCAATGAACAGTAACAGCATTGTTATCTCTAATTAAGATACCATCACTAATAATCCCTTCCATTTTTAGAGCTCTTTTATTTTTGAAGTGTGTTCTTATCTTTTATGTTATTTGCTCTTATGATGACCCTGTAGATTGTGGGAGATAAACAGGATTCTTCTTGCAGAACAGAGAAAATCTGAGTCCTAGACGGAAGAAGCAACCAGCCCAAGAATGCATGGGTGGCCATGGAACCTGAAAAGCCCCTTTTCTGAATTCATCCTCTGTTTGGGTCTTTTTCTCTTTGCTCCTCTTTGAAAGAAGCCAAATTAGTGTTCTTTCGCATTACCCTTCCCATTAATTCTCTGCTCAGGGACCAGTAAAAGGGGGCCCCTTACAGTCATCTGGCTGGATATCTAATTGTTTTGGGTGATGCCTTCCTTAGAAATGTAAAGTTAAAGAGATGGTATCCCTTTGGGGAGCCTTGCAGAATGTGTGTTTCTTTGTCTATATCAGGGGTCCTTAACCTTTCTTCTGTCATGGACCTCTTTGGAAGTCTGGTAAAGTCTATAGACTCCTCTGAATTAATGTTCTTTAAATAATTGAAGGAAAGGCTAACTTTTAGATAGAGGTTAGTGAAAATAAAAATATTTTTTTTTCATCCAAAGTCACAGGACAACCCCCCCCCAAATCTGTGCACAGACCCCTTGGAGTTAAGGATATCTGCTTTTATAATCACATTCCCTGTGTGTCTTAATGACCTGGCTGGCTACATCCTCCATTATGAAATAGCACTTTTAAGTTTTGCTAAGCACTGTACAAAGATTATCTCATTTTAGCCTCACAGCTACCCTGGAGGTAAGTGCTGTTAAGTTCATTTTACAGGTGAGAAAACTAAGACAGATAGATGTTAAATGACTTGCCCAGGGTCAAACAGCTAGTAAGTGTCTGACCTAAGATTTGAACTCAGGTCTTCCTGACTCCAGGCCCAGCACTCTATCCACTGAGCTAACTAAGAGAATGAAAGGGAAGGAGTATAATTTTTATCTTTCTACCAGGCTTCTCTACTTTTTCCTTTTCTTTGCCACTGGGCCGTATTCTTAGGAAGAGCTTGGTCGGGGCAGCTAGGTTGCACAGTGGATAGAACACCAGCACTGGGTTCAGGAGGACCTGAGTTCAAATCCAGACTCAGACACATAACACATACCAGCTGTATGACCCTGGGCAAGTCACTTAACCCCATTGCCTAGCCTCCCCCCCCAAAAAAAAAAAGTTTGGTCTTTGTTAGGTTGTGGTAGCACAAAAAAGCTGAATCTGTTTGTTTTGGTTACTGACATGGTGCCTCCTTGTGCTACTCCAGGGGCAGTACCGCATCTCCTCCTTAGCAAGCTTGAGTCTTTGCCTCACCGCTGTGAAGAGCTTCTGCAGAGCTGGGTTGGCAGAACTGGGCTAAAGTATAAAAAACTTAGCCTTATTATTGCCTTATCAACTAAACTAAATGGACAAAATGATAAACTTTCTTATCCTGGCGTTCAAGGCTTTCGGTAACCTGACTCTTAGCCAGAGATGTGCTGATAAATTTTTAACAAGTGGATCCCTGGTGGGAAAAATGTACCTGTGACACACTTTTATATTTAATCTCCATTTTTAACATTTTCTCTGTAATTCTGTTAAATCTAGAAGTCAACAAAATAATAAATCAAGCCCTGATTTATAACATTTGCTGATTTACAAGCTATAAATGCTCACACTGAAAATTTAACAATTGGCTTTCATGAGTTGGTACAAGCTGGCTACAGCACACCCTTCTTCTTAGCTCATATTCCTGTTGCTTATATTCTAGGCAGCAAGGGGGTGCAGTGGATAGAGTGCCAGGCTTGAAGTCAAGTCAATCCAGCCTCAGACACTTACTAGCTGTGAGACCCTGAACAAGTCAGTTAACCCTGTTTGCCTCAGTTTCCTCATCTGTAAAATGATAAAGATATGGCAAACCACTCCACTATCGTTGCCAAGAAAACCCCCAGTGGGGTCATGGAGAGTCAGACGTGACTGAACAACAACAAATCTGTTCCAATAAAACTGTACTACTCACCAAACTCTGTTTTTGTCTTTCCTTCGGGCTCACCTGGAACACTTACATTTTGAACACCTGTGCTATAATAACATCCTTAAACACCAGAAATCAGGGCCTCGCAGGGCTTAGATTTAACAGTTGCCAACCTGACTCACCTAAACATAGGGTCACAGAATTTAGATGTCAAAGGGACCTTTAGTATCTTCGTATCTCAGCTCTAGAGAGATTAGAGTCTCTCTCTTTGCACAAACCTTAAAACCCTGGTATGGACTCCTCCCCCACCCCCATTCAAATCCCTTCTTTCCACCAAGGCCCAGCTCATGCACCACCTCCTCCACAAAACCTTTTTTGATTTCCCTCTAGCTAGAAATAATCAAGCACCTTCAGATTTGTCACAGTACTTTGATTAGTCTTTGTCTGAACACTTTGTCATTTTTTAGCTCGTGCTTTTCCTTATTGGTGATCATGTCTTATCCTTACTGTTAGATTGTAAGCTCCTTGAGGGCAAATCCTATGTGTTCCTTAATATCTGTATCTTGACTGTGTAGCATGGCATATGGAACTTTAGCAGGCATGTAAGAACTATTTTTTGAATTGTGTTAGATTAAATTTCTGTATCTCCCTAGAAAGATGAGGTAGACTTGTTCTGTGTGACTTCAGGAAGCAAAGCTGTTAGGGCCAATGGGTGAAAGTTTCTAAGGACCAAGATTAGGTCAGAGAAATGAAAGTTGCCCAAGTGGAAAGAGTCGCCTCCAGAATAGAAGCTCCTTCTCAGCTGGATTTATTGAAGCAGAGGCTAAATGACAGTCTGTCAGGGATGTTTATAAATGAGACTCATTCAAAGTGTGGGAGGTGGGATTAGAAAGCACCAAAGGTCCCTCTGAATTCTGCATTCTGTGACTCTGTGATAGAATTGGAAGCATTTAGGGTTACATGTTCAGGGGAGCCAGGGTGGCAGCTCTGAGTCTAAGCCCTGCAAAGCCTTGATCTTTCCAGTGTTTTTAGGAATGCTCTTATTGTACACGTGTTCAGAATGCAGGTGCTCCAGGTGAGCCCGAATCCAGGTCTCTGAAGCTGTAGGTGCTCTTAGGCAAGGTGAATGATGAGGGGCTTCAAATACATGCCCTATGAAGAGCAGTGGAATAGCAGGAGATATTTAGCCTGGGGAAGAGAGAACCCACAGGGACCTGATAGCTGTCATTTTGACTCATTCTGCTTGGCCCCCCTTGGGAAGAGCCAGGAGCAATGGGAGGAAGCTGTGGGGGGGGGGGCACACTTAGGCTGGTTTGGGAGAAAAGCTTCTGAACGCTCAGAACTGTTCCCCAGTTGAATGGGCTGCTGGGGGATGGCCTTTCACCACGCCCAGCTGGTGTGGCTTGGACTAGATGACTTAAGAGGCCTCTTCTGCCTGAATGGATAATGTTTATAGGATTTGGTCCAAATGATAATTTCCTGCTTGGTACCATGAGGCAAAGAGCCGAAAGACGGTCTCCTGGGGTACCCTCCAGGACTATCTGATCAGCCCAATGGACTTGAGTCAGAAGGTAGAGGAAATCCTTCTGCTAGTTTTATGGAGAAATGAATTTCATGGGTTCTATTTAGAAGGGTAATGATATCCTCATACCTTTAAGAATGCTTGTTTTGATGGTATGATTTACTGATTTGCCTTTTTTCTTCATTGTCCTCTTGTAACACGACTAGATACCGAAAGATTTCTGGAGACACTTGTAGTGGTGGAGATGTTGAAGCCCGCTTGGAGGGAGAATTGGTTCCCTGTCCTTTGGCTGGTAAGAGAGATTTCATTTCACATTGCCTTCCTCCCCAGCTATGATTTCTTCCTTGTCCTGGCATCATGCAAGCACAGGTATGGAGGCTTAGCTAACAGTAGTACATGGCCTCAAACTGACATGGAACTGATCCATGCAAGCCGCAAAGTGATTTAGAAGAACACACATTAACCTTATCTACATTGAAGAGGTAGCTGGGTGGTTCAGTGGATAGAGTGTTGGGCTTGGAGTCAAGAATTTCTGAGTTCAAATCCATCCTCAGACACTTACTAGCTTTGTGACCGTGGGCAAGTCACTTAACCTGTTTACCTTAATCCCATTGGAGAAGGAGATGGCAAACCACTCCAATGTCTTTGCTCAGAAAACTCCATGGGCAGGATGGTCCATGGGGTTGTGAAGAATCAAGCACAACTGAATAACTACAACAACATTGTATTGCATTTTTATTTGTTTTGTTCAGTATTTCCCAGTTATACCTTAATCTACTTCCAGAGGGCCAGGGGCTGGTAACAGCTGTGAGTTTCTCACTTCTGTGGTAGAGGAAAGGCCTTTTAGTGGAACCAGTAAGACGTAGTCACTTTCTTACCTGACAGCAACATCTAAACCTCAATTGGTGCCCTGAAGTCATGATAGGACCAGGACTGATTGCTTACCATCATGTTTAAAGGCTGAAGGATGCCAGTGCTACAGGGCTGAAGGTTGGTTGGGATGGTGTTCTCCCATTATTGTTAAGTGAAGGAGCATATACTGCTGGGGGAGACAAAATGTAAATGACTAGGTACATGCAAGTTATAGAGAATGTATTAGTAGTAGTAGTAATGGTGGTGGTGGTGGTGGTGATAGTGGTAGTAATAGTACTGGTGGTGGTAGTAGTAGTAGCAGCAGCTAGCATTTATATAATGCTTTAAGGTTTGCAAAGCACTTTGCATATTATCTTTTTTGATCTTTAAAACAACCCTATGAAGTAGATGCTGTTATTACCATCCCCATTTTACAGATGAGGAAATTGAGGGTAGCAGAGGTCTTGTGACTTACCCATAGTCCCCCAGCTAGTAAGTGTCTGAACCAGGATTTGAACTCAAGTTTTCTTTATTCCAACATCATCTGTTGTGCCACTTAGATGCTTGTGTGTTTGTATCCCAAGTGTTTAGCACAGTGCCTAGCACACAGCAAATATTTAATAGTTGCTTGCTGACTGACTGTAAGATGAAAGGGATAGATGAGCTGGTCTCCCAGGTCCCTTCCAACTCTCAGTCTGTGGTGTGGGTTCCTTAGGCTATAGGCCACTTGGCATAGGCATTGGGTCAGCAAGCCAGGCAGAGATAAACAGCATTCCTTCAGTTTTAGATCTATGCCGTGCATGCTAATTGCAGAAAACTCTGTGGAAAGGCAGCATGTTGTAAAGGGGAGGTATGCCCTCAAGCATTTTCCAGGTTGATTTCAGGACACTCTCAATCGAGGCATGTGCAGCATGGGCCTGAAGTTATGGTAGCTTTAAAAAGATTAGTTAGTCTTCTGACCTGTTTTCTTTCTTCTCCCAGCTTCCCAGTCTCATTCATTTGTAACTTTTCTTTGATTTCTCAGAGTCCTGGGTGAAGGTTGAATAATTTGTGCCTACTTCCATTAGGAAATTATGCTGTCTTATGGAACAGTGACAGGGGCCAAATGAATCACAAAAGCAGCCTGCCCCAGTGTAGCGGGTAGTGATGGCATTTCATTGGCCTGCTGGCCACCAGCTTGCATTGTTCATGGGAAGCTCACTGGTCCTTTAATTTCAACTTCCATCATTAGCAGCATAATTAACATGCAGGCGCACTGGAGACTTATAAAGAATACATTTTTGGCAGACTCCAAAAAATGAGCCGATGATACATGTTTACCTTACTTTCTCCCCCTCACCTCATCCATAAGAGCTGTTATTAATGACAGCTTTGATTAGTAGGTTTTAATGATTTTGCTTAAGGAACTAGAATATATATTTTAGCAGAAAATATATCTGAAAGTAATTCATCTGGAGAAAAAGAACCCAGTTAATTTAAAGCACACTGAAGGGCCAGGAATCCTTCTCTTTTTTCAGTAGGATCCAAGAGTTCCTGACATTTTGGTATGTTGTGGATACCTTTGACATTCTAGTGATGTCTGTGGACCCCTCCTCAGAATAACATTTTTCAAAGCATAAAGTTAACTACATAGGATTATAAAGGAAACCAATTCTATTGAAATATTTTTCATTTAAAAGAATACAGATAAGTTCATGGACCCCAGGTTAAGAACCTTTGCGCAGAAGATAGGACAAGAAGTAGAATGCTCAGTTTCCTTTATGACAGAGACCATCTTTTAAATGTAAAAGACTTCCTAGTCTAGCAGGCAAAGTTGTAACATTAAAGAGAGATGTGACCTTCTGGAGTTGATGGAAAACACCTGCCCCCTGGCAAAGATGAGACAGGTTAGATATCTTGATGGGAGTACAAATATTTGATCTCTCTTTATGATTACTGTCGGGGGAAATGTGTGTGTGATAGACATGCTGTGTGGCTTTGTGTGGCCAAGTGCTGGGCATTACCGTTCTGCTCCATTTTTTTTTCCTCATGGCACCTGGAAGTCCACTCTCTGGTTCACCACTGAGGCAAACAGTCCTAGGCATAGGCAGTTTGGAGGCATTAGATTATTAGAAGCAAACCAGCAGAATGAGGTTTATGTTTATTGGTGTGATAAGAAAATGGAATCTCATGAAGGAGAATGAATTCATCCTGTAAATTTTGAGTAGAACATCACTGTGAAGCCAGTCCCTGACTCTTAGGGCAGCCATGGTTTTTAATTTCCCTTGCTTTCTTGATAGACCTTCTAGTGTTCTCTCCCCTTCTTAAAGAGACTGAGACTTCTAATGAGATCTGTTTGAAAATTAGAAAGGTTGAGCAGTGATAGTGTGGTGTGAGGATTTAAGACCTTTTTAAGTAAAGAAGGTAAGAAAGATGAACTGGAGCCTGGATTGTTTCTAGTGCTAGAGGCTGTCATCTTGACACATTTGGTTGTTTGAATAACAAAAACGAAAAAGAAAACTCTTAAAACAGTTTATTCATAGTCAGGCAGAACAAATTTCCATGTTGGCCATGTCCAAAAATGTATGCCTCATTCTGCATTTAAGTCCATTACTTTTCTGGCAGGAGGTGGGTGGCCTGCTTTGCTTTGGTCCTCTAGAATTGTGGTTTATCATTGCATTGATCAGTGTATTTTTCAAAGATGTTTTTCTTTTTAGTGTTGTTGTCATTGTATAAGGTATTCTCTTGGTTCAGCTCATTTCTTTCTGCATCAGTTCACACAAGTCTTCTCAGTTTTCTCTGAAACTGTTTCATCATTTTTTATGACATACTTGTATTCCATTACATTCATATACCATCATTTTTGTTTATCTGTTATCTAATAGGAGAGCACACCTCAGTTTCCATTGTTTTTATTACTGCCAAAATTGCTGCTATAAATATTTTTGTACATGAGCCCTTTCCTCTCTCTTTGTTCTCTTTGGGGTACATGACTTTGGCTTTTCATGTAGGATTTGCTGTTATGTGAATTGTCTACACTGCAGCAAGAGGATTCAAATCTGAACATAGCCCCATGAAGCAATTGATTGTCAAAACTATCACTTTGCAAATGTGTGCCAAACTTTTCTACAATATACTAGAAGAATCTGAATTTTTTTCAGGTTATTCCCTTTCACATTAGGACTTACTCAATTATAGGAAACTCACAAGTTGAGAATCCAGGTCTCATTTTGCTCCATATTGAGCAAGAATTGACTGAAGAGGACAGAGAGTTCATGTTAACACAGGGTCATGGGGTGTTGGCCATAGAGTTAGTTCAAAGATGCAAAATGGGAACAAGTAGGAGCTCTCTTGATGTGGGCCGTGCATTGGCCTTCCTACCCATATCTAAACTTCATTCCCCTGGAGTATTCCAGAAGAGAAATCAGTGCTAACAGTGTTTATTTGTATTAGGTGTGTTATGTGTAGCCCCCATCATTCTGCATCTTAGTGAAAAGGAGAGAGAAGAGGCATAGGCTGTCATCATGGCAAAATGGAAAGACCTGTTCAGTTGGAAAACCTGGATTCAAATTCCATCTCTGACACTACTTTATGACCTTAGACAAGTCTCTTACCTTACTTGGGATCCAGTTTCCTCATCATCAAAATGAGAGGATTGGGCAGGATCAGAGGTTCTTAACCTGGAGCCCAAGAGGATAGATTTCAGGGAATCCATTAATTTGTATTTTCAGGAATTTGATAGCTGTATTTCAGTAGAATTGGTTTCCTTTGTAATCCTATGTGTTTTAAGCATTTAAAAATATTATCCCTAGGAGTCCATAGGTTTCATAAGGGTCCTTGACACAAAAGGAAGTGGAGAACCTCTGGACCGTAGGGTCTCTGAGCTCCCTTCTTACATTGGTCTGTTCAGTGAAGCAGCAGATGCAGAGACTTAGGATTCTCAGCTGTCTGCCCTTCTGCATGTTTCTCTGGTGTAGAGGTTCTTAACCCTTGTGGTGTCATGGGGCTCTTTGGAAGACCATGGATCCCTCCTCAGAATAATGTTTTTCAATGATGTCTAAAATAAGGAAACCAATTATATTGAAATACCAATATTTAGGTGGAAATATCTATATATCTATATATATGCACATATACATTTAGAAATGTATGCATGAATATATAAAAATATACACACATGCACACATGCAGAATGTGTATATATACACATAAACACATATATACAACACGTGTGTGCATGCACACACACATATATATAATTAGAATTTCACAAGAGAATTTTAGGGATTCTTAAACGTGGCTTCAGGAACTTTAAAAATACGTAGATATAGATCTCTATATATACACATATACCTATATTTACCTACATACACAAGTGTGTGTGTGTATTTGTGTATGTATATTTTTATATGTGATTTTATATATATTTATATTTATATGTGATTTATACACACACACACACACACACACACACACACACATATGTATGTTCCTGAACACACACATACACCTGTTCAAGAGTCCCTGATTTCAGGGGCAGCTAGGTAGTGCAGTGGATAGAGCACAGCCCTGGATTCAGGAGGACCTGAGTTCAAATCTGGCCTCAGACATATAACACTTATTAGTTGTGTGACCCTGAGCAAGTCACTTAACCCCATTGCCTAACCAAAACCAAAGAATCCCTGATTTCCAGACCTGGGGCACCTTTTCTCTCAGACAGGCAGTCATTGGTGCTGCTGGTTAGTGTGTGTAGGTTCCTCTCAAAGCACCTCACCTGTGGCTGCTTCAGTGATTAGTGGTGATGATGCTGGGCTTCTAAAGCTTTCAGGGGAAAGTGGAAGGGAATCTCTTTTGTCCTGAGACTTTTTGCTGTCAGTTTAAGGCTGGGAAGTTTAAAGTCCTAAAGACTACAGAGGAAGAAGGCACAAACAGCAGCATGATAGCTGCATAATGAGGGGGGAGAGAGGATGAACTTCCTTGTTGGAGAGTAATAGAATGTTAAAGCTGAAAGGAACCTTTCAGTATTACCATTAGTACTGACAGTTCACATTTTAACATTTTACAGTTTTTTTAGGAGACTATGCATTTATTTTATCTTATGTTTTCAGTACACATTTGTATAGCACCTACTATGTGTCAAGCACTGTGCTAGAGCTTTACAATTATTAACTCATTTGATCCTCACAACAACCCTGTGAGGTACATGCTGTTATTATCCCTATTTTACAGTTGAGGGAACTGAGGCAAACAGAGGTTAAGTGACTTGTCCAGGATCATTCACACAGTAAGTGTCTGAGGTCAGATTTGAACTCAGGACTTCCATGACTCCAGGCCTAGCACTCTCTCCACTGTGCCACCAGCTGCCTGTCTTTATGAAAAAGGGCACTCCAGAGAGTGTAACTTCAAGGGAGGTACTATTTCTTTTGTCTCTGTATTCTCAGAGCCCTGCATGCTGCCATAGTAGGTATTTTGATAAATGCTTCCTCGTTCATTCACTTGATTGATTATACATGCTATGGGGCAGGCTGGGCAAGTACAGTGATATTATTCCCATTTTACAGATGAGACATCTTGAGGCCTGAAGGGTTGAAGTGGCCTTCCTAAGATAGCAGTGGTACTGAGCCTCAGACCCCAGCCTCCTAACTGATACTAGGTCTAGTGTTCTTTCTAATTTACTGTAGACCATCTTGTCCATGCCCCTTATTTTGCTGATGTTTGTATAGCCTGAAGTCCATTGAGTAAAATGACTTTACTAAAGTCCTGGACTGTTTTGGGAGGCAGAGCTAAGACTGTGTCCCAGTCTCCTGACTCCAGTCCAGGTCAGTGAGAATACCTTTCATGTGGCTGAGGCCATGGGAGATGTCATGAGGAAAGGTGGCTTAGTTGGTGAGACTGACACAGAGGATGAGAATTTCAAGCTTAGGGCATGGGGAAAGGCGTACGTGGCACTAAAAGATGGGAGGAGTCAGAGTCCAAGCACCCATTTTGTAGCCACCTGCTTGCTGGCTGTGTGACCTTGGACAAGCCGCTTGACCTTGGGGCTCAAATGAGGGAGTTGGACTGGGTTGATGTCTGTGGTTGCTGTCAGTTCTAATATTCTTTGTGTGTGATCCTTTGTGGGGCAGGGCCTGGACTTGGAGTCAGGAAGACCCGGATTTGGATCCCCTCCTCAGTTACTTAGTTGCTGAGTAATGGTGGGCAGATCATTGTCTCTGAGCTTTAATTTCCTCACCTTTTAATTGGGGGGAAAATAGCCCCTACCTCATAGGGTTGTTGTGAGGAACACATGAATAAGAGATAAGAAGATGGGCAAATCTTTTTTTTTTTAATTTTTAGGCAGTTGGAGTTAAGTGACTTGCCCTGGGTCACACAGCTAGTGTCAAGTGTTTGGTCTAAGGCTGTATTTGAACTCAGGTCCTCCTGACTCCAGCACCTGTGCTCTATCACATTGCACCACCTAGCTGCCCCAAGATGTGCAGATCTTGAAGTGACATATAAATGTGAGCCATTGTTGGTTCAACAAAATTCTTACACCCTCTTCCTCATTCCCTCCCTTCCCATCCCCAGCTAGGTGGACTAAGAGGTCCTGGTACTCCCTTTTCCCATCCCCAGCTTTGTGCACTGAGGTGTCCTTGTATGTTTGTCTCTTTGCGCAGAGGAGAATGAGTTCATCCTGTATGCCATGAGGAAATCTATCTACCGCTATGACCTGTCTTCTGGGGCCATCGAGCAGTTGCCTGTCACGGGGCTGCGGGCGGCTGTGGCTTTGGACTTTGACTACGAGCACAACTGCTTGTACTGGTCTGACTTGGCCTTGGACATCATCCAGGTGAGCTCATTGTACACCTGACTGGAGAACTTGTACTTGGCTTCTTAAGGTCGGCTTAAGTTTTAACATCCACATCTGACGAGGCTTGTTCAGTGACAGCCTGAGAAATGGTCAGGGGTTTCCAGGGTTTGGGAGAAGTAACCTACTTGGGGCCATTCCATGATACAGCGTGATCCCCAGTATTAGTATGCTGAGGTCAAAATCTGTCTTGTAGCCTTATCTGTGGTGAAGTTCCTCATGTATTTTCCTCAGTCCTGGGGAGGGGCATACTTAGTCACTGTGGAGGCCTAAGGGGGGAATATACATACTTAATCCTTTTCCTTCCATGCTACGGTGTCTAGAATATCAACTGTTGGGGCATAGCCCAAAACGCAGAAAGGAAACAAACAAACAGAAAGGTCTCTGAACTGTGTAAATAAATGCTGATGTACCAAAGTTCATACATGTATATGTAATGATTGCCCCTCACTCAGAACCTATTTCCTCTCACTTGAGACGTGGTTCTAAATATATTTGGTTACCTGGTTTCCCAGCACAAAGCATATTGGTAGCAACATATCAGAAAGCTATAGCTAGAAAGAAGTATATAAAGAACTCGAGGAGTTGGTAAGGTCACAATGAGGAAGGAAGCAGAAAAGTTTGAAAAAAAAAAGCCCAAGAACTTTTAATAGCACAAACTAGAGTAATGAGTTAGTAGCTCTGCTTGCTTCAGAAGAACCTGAGGGGAATCACTGTGTGATCGCCAGACAGTTAGGTGATGCTCAGGGTGATGACTTGGAATCTCCAGTCCTTCAGAGAGCTGTGGCTTCCTCAGTGCGGGTCCTTCCCTTCCCCAAAATAGACTGTGATCTTTCTTAAACTCATTAGCTGTTTTGTCCTTGTTTGTGCTTGAGTCATCAGGAAGAAGCTCATTTCTTTCTTATGTTTTACTTTGTTTAAGATGACAGGGAATTAGGCTGTGTATTTTTAATTTTTTTTTAGATTTCAATTAAAATTGTTAACATAAATTACTTAGAGGGATTAAACTTCAGTTAACCATGTAATGCACTCTTATGGAATTGATAATCTTCTTGGGACATAAACATCTGAAAAAAAAATTTTTTTCCCTCTTTAGCGTCTCTGTTTGAATGGGAGCTCTGGGCAAGAGGTGATCATCAATTCAGGCCTGGAAACAGTGGAAGCTTTGGCCTTTGAACCTCTCAGCCAGCTGCTTTACTGGGTGGATGCTGGGCTGAAAAAAATTGAGGTATGTTTGCTCCTATTTTTATTTAGTATTGGAAAGGGTCTACTCTGGACGGTGCATTATCAGAATATAGTGATAGCATGGAATGGACTCTGAGCATTCAGTTCGATAAATAACCGTCATGAAGAGAGCATATGTGCTGGGCTTTGTGGGGAGGTAATAGTTCATATAGCACTTGAAAGGCTTCACAAATATTATCTCATTTGATCCTCACAGTGCTCTGTCAGATGGGTGATACTTTTATCCCCATTTTATTTTATTTTTTAGGCAGTTGGGGTTAAGTGACTTGCCCAGGGTCACACAGCTAGTGTCAAGTGTTTGGTCTGAGGCCGGAGTTGAACTCAGGTCCTCCTGACTTCCAGGCGCCACCTAGCTGCTCCTTTCCCCACTTTATACATGAGGAAACTGAGGCAAACAGAGGCTAAGTGACTTGCCTGGGGTCACACAGCTAGTAAGTGTGTGAGGCAGAATTTGAACTCTGGTCTTCCTCATTCCAAGTACCCACTAGGCTACCTAACTGCCTAGATGTTCAGTTTAGAAAAGTTTGGGTCCCTGATCTTATAAAATATAGTCTAATTGAGAAATAAGACAGAAGTGCAGATAATTGTAATACATAGGAAAATGGGATAGTTATATTGGAGAGATAGAAAGTGCTCTGTGAGATCCAGGGGTGGAAAGTCTAATCATTGAATTGGTGGTGGTGGTGGTTATGGGAAATGAGAGAAGGCTTCATGGAGGAGGGGATGTGTGAGTTGCATTAAGCAGGCAGGCAACTAGCATCTAAGCGCTTCCTAAGTGCCAGGCTTTATGTGAAGTGCTGGAGATACAAGTATAAGCAAAAAGAAAGACAGTCCTTGCCCTCAAAGAGCTCAAACTCTAAAGAGGAAAGTCTTTATATATATAGGAGCTGAAAAGCAATGGGGAGGGGGAGGAGAAAGTCCCTATATAGGAGAGTGGCGGTGATATCCAGAGAAAAAGAAACAGCTGGTAGGGGATTGATGCATGGCTGCCTTGGCCTTGTCACCAGAATGGAGGTCCTGAGGCCCTGGAAGAATCTCACCAGTGAGACAAGGGGACCCAGAATGGTGAAGTGATAACACTGAGTGAGAAGGCTGCAGGTGATGAAGGGCCAGGGTTCGAGGGCGGCTGAGTTGAGTTGTGGTGAATTCCAGGAGACTCCGAACCACAGGCAGAAGGGCAATGACACATGGCCGACCTGCACATAGGTAGGAATTAGACAGATGAAGGGAAGAGGGGGAGGGAGATTCCAGACTTAGGGAACATCGTAAGAAAAGGGAAGGACATGTTGTGTTTGAAGAAGTGAAGAGGGAAGAACGGGCGTAGTATAGTGGATAGGAAGCAGGCCTTGCAGGAAGGAGGGTCAGGATTCCAATCCTGCCTCTGACACACACGGGCTGGGTGACTCTAGTAATTAAGTGCCTGTTTGTGCCAAGTGCTATGCTAACCCCTGCCAATACAGAAAAGAGCAGAAACGAGTTCCTGCTGTCAAGGAGGTCAGGCTGCTGCTGGAGACCACATGTAAACCGTTGTGTACAGAGCAGTGATAAACATGACAAACTGGGAATGATCGAAGGGAAAAGACATTCTTGGGAAAGACTTCTTGAAGAAGGTAGGACTTTAGCTGAGACTTGATGGGAGCCAGGAAAAAGCCAGGGGCAGTGATGAGGAGGGGAGAGACACAGAGAGGCAGAGACAGAGAGACCCAGGCATGGGGGAAAGACATTGAAAACACTTGGATTTAGGAGATGGACTGTCATGTCTAAGGAACGGCATGGAGGCCAGTGTCACTGGATTGAAGAGTATGTGGTGAGGAGACTGGACGAGTACGAAAGAAGCAAGGTTATGGAGACCTTGATAAGCCAAAGAGAGGATTTTATATTTGTTACCTCAGGCACTAGGGAGCTACTGAAAATTAATGAAATGGGGAGGGCGTGGGATGACATGGCCATTCTTGAGCTTTAGAGAAGATGAGTTTGACCGATGAGTAGAAGATGCACTGGAATAGAGGGAGACTTGAGGCAGGCAGACCCACCAACATGCTATTGCAGTAGTCCAGGCCTGAGGTAATGAGGGTCTGCATCAGGCTAATGGCAGTGCCAGAGGAGAGAAGGGGCATTAAGGAAGAACTTAAGAAGGTAGACGTGAGATGGCTTGCTAAGTGATTGAATGTGGGGAGGTGAGAGACAGTGGAGAGCTGAGGATGATCCCAAGGTTATAGGGGTGGATGGCTGGGAGGATGGTGGTACAATGCGGTACCCTGACAGTAATTCAAAAGTTAGGAAGAGGGAGAAGTTTTGGGGGAAAGATAATGAGTTCATTATCTTTGAACATACTGAACATCATATTTGAACATACTGAGCTTAAGATGTCTACAAGACATCTAGTCTTCTTAAAGGCAGCCAGATGTCTCAGTGGATAGAGTGTTAGACCTGGAATCAGGAAGACCTGGGTTCACATCCCTCTTCAGACACTTTCTAATTGTGTGATCCTGGACAAGTCATTTAACCTCTGTCTACCTCAATTTCTTTAACTGTAAAATGGGGATAATAAAAGCACCTACTTCATAGGGCTGTTATGAGGATCAAATGAGATAATATTTATAAAGCAGCACATAGTAGGTGTTTAATAATGCTTATTCCCTTCCCCTTCTCCCTAGTTGATGTTTAATAGGCAGTTAGAAATGCAAGACTGGAAGTCAGGAGAGAGGTTAGGACTGGACAAATAAATCTGAGAATCATCTTCATATCAATGTCAGTTGAAACCATGGGAGCTGATGAGATCACCAGGTGAAATAGTGTATTGGGAGAAGAGAATCTGGAACATAGCCTTGTAGGAGTCTCATGGTTAATGGGTTTGACATCACTGATGATCCTGCACAGGCCATTGAGAAGGGTCGGTCAGACCAGTAGAAGCAGAACTAGGACAGAGCAGTGTCATGGCAACCTAGAGTGAAGGGGGTGATTGACAGTGTCAAAGGCAAAAGAGAAAAAGATGAAGAAAAAAGATGAAAGACAACGACTGGGGAAAATGACCTAGGAAAAGCTCCCAGGGCTCCTAGTAACTCCTTAAAACTGTAATTTGCAGTGCAAATGTGTACCTATAGTGGTAAATAGTTTCCTCACTCAGGAATTTACTTCCCTGTACCAGTGAAACCACAGGTCTAGGCTCAGGCAAACCAAAACATAGAGGACAGGGACTGTATTATAATGTACCTTTGTATTCTCCTAGCACCCAGCCCAGTGCTTTGCATTTAGGAAGACCTTAATGTCTTTTGAATGGAATTGAATTGAAAATATCTAATAATTATTTTAACCATATACAACTAGTATATTTGTCTTTATGCCATGGCAGCCTAGGACAGTGCCAGGTACCCGTAGAAGATAGATTAGAGGAAGAAAACTTGTGGAAAATGCACAAAGCAGTTTTAATGAATATAATTGAAAAGTGATTATACAGTGATACTTCATGTATCAAGAATTCGGCTATCTGATCCCATCATCCCATCTGATCCCAGTTCAGAAGCATTAAGAACCTAGCACAAAAGTCTGACCAAAATTGAATTCACAAAATAAAGCCGTAAAACCCAGAAACTTAGCTCAAAGGAGAGTCCCTCCGGTCCTTGTTCACAGCCCATTTACTTTTATTTAACATTCACTTCTAACACGCCTGGTTATTTGGCTTCCTAGTCCAAAGCAGATCAGTAAGGAGGGCTGTGAGGGAAAGGACATTGATATCACTGAGAAGGAATAGTGGGCAACCTGATAAGACTAAGACACAAAACCTTAGGAATCAATGTATTCTTAAATTTGTTGTAGATACTAGAAGCCCTGCATGGTCTTAATTGGTTCAGTTCAGCAAACAAGAATACTGATAAAAATGAGGGCCAAACTCCTGTCCTGTTGAAAGATATGAAGTATGGGAGAGATGCTACAGTGGAACTGGAGAAAAACAAGTTTTTACTGATTTTTAAAAATGTAATAGTATTTTTTTTTTCAAATTACATGTAAAGACAATTTTCAGCATTATTTTTTCTAAGATTTTGAGTTCCAGTTTTTTCTCCCTCCCTGATATACTTGTGCAATCATGGTATTTTACTGATTTTTTTTAAAGGAAAAGAATGTAGAGTCATTAAACTGTAGGCTAGTGAGCTTGATCGTTACTGGAGAAGATCTAGAATATGTTTTTATTGGGATGGGTTATGAGTGGTGGTGATCACACCAACAAACCTGGCTTCATCAAGAGTAGGTTGTGCCAGACAAACCTGGTCTCCTTTTTTGACAAGGTTGTTAGATTGTAGATCAGGGAGGGAAATGCTATACATGTGATTTACCCAGATTTCAGACATGTATTTCAAAATGTCCCATGATGTCCTTGTGAGCAAGATGGAGAGATAGGGGCTAGATGATATTACAGCTGGGTAGACTAACCTAGTTAGGTGAAATGATGAAATCTAAAGCCTATTTGATGTCAGCTTGCAGTAATTTTTCTAACAGAGTATCCCCGGTTATCTATTCTTGGCCCTATTCTGTTTCACATTTTTATCAGCGATTTGGATAAAGCATAACTATGCTGGCCCTGTCTCCAAAATGGAGGCCCCTGGAAGAAACTCAACAATGGGAGCCAGCAGGGTGGAGGGAGGGATATTTTGCTGTACGTATCACATTTGCAAATGTCACAAAAGTCGAAGGGAGATCTCATACCTTGGGAGGTTAGTTAAGGATCCAAAAAGTTCTTGACAGCTAAAATAATGGACCAAAACCAAGATTAAATTTAATATAGGTAAACATAAAGTCCTACATTTGGGTTTAAAAAATATTTCTGTATGGGGAAAGTGAGACAAAGGTTCTTGTAGAAAAAGATATTGATGTCTTTGGCCTCTGGAAGCTCAAGTCAGCAGGTATTTATTAAGCACTTATTGTGTGTGAGGCAGAGTGCTGGGAATCACAAAAATAATCAAGAAGAAACTCCTCAAGTGATTTGCATTCTAATGAGGAAAAGACCCCGCATAGAGAGGGAGAGTAGGTGTCCTGTGGCCCCCCAAAAACGTTACTGCAATTTTGGACCGTAGCATCAGAGCAAGGGAGGTGACATTTTCACTGATGATACTGTGGTCTTGTTAGATCATATGTGAGATCTGCATGGTGATGCAGCTGGAGACCATGATGTGGATCTGTTGAAACAACTATTTTTAGCCTTCAGGAAGAAGAGAAGACTGGGGCAGGGTGATCAGGATGACTGTCTTTCTAAGTACAGTTCTTGTAAGTCTGTCAGGTAGAAGAGGATTTATGCTTGTTCTACCAGACCCTAGAAGACAAGACTAGGAATAAACCATAAAGATTGCCAAGGAGCAGATTTCAGTGTAAAAAAAAAAAACTGGAAAGCAGTTTTAAGCTGCCCATAAGGGGCCTGGGCTGCCTCTGTGGGGGCACCTCACAGTGGGACTTCAAGTAGAGACTTAGATAACCACTTCTCTCTTCTCAGGGCTTTTCTAGAGGATATTCCTGTTCAGGGAGGTTTGGATTCAATGACCTCTTTCGTCCTTTCTTTTTCTGAGATTCTGTGTGTGCCTACAGTGTGTTTGGTGCTGGGACTGCAAAGATTGCTGTGACCCAGAACGTAATAGTAGCTGGTATACACTCACTGAGCTCTGGCTTCCTGATGTCACCAAAGCTAGGTGCTTCAGTAGAGAGAGTGCTGGGCATGGGGGTCAGGAACACCTCAGTTACACCTCAGTTCAAATCCAGCTTCAGGCACTTAACTAGCTGTGTCACTTTGGGCAAGTCATTTAACCTCTTTGCCTCAGTTTCCTCATTTGTAAAATAGGGATAATAATAGCACCTCCCTCACAGAGTTGTTTTGAGGATCAAATGAGACAGTAATTTATAAAGTGTATAACACAATGACTGGCAAATAGTAGGCACTAGATAAATGCTAGCTATCATTGTTATTATTGTTATTATTATAACTGCTTTCCTGTCTACTCATTCTAGCCCTGGCTCCACTTTCACTCATACCCCTAGTCATGGTGGGAAAGTTGGAATACTCCATGTTCCCTGTTGCTGCTTCTATACTCTCCCTCTACCACCATCACTCATCACCTTCCCTTTGATGGAGGTTCATACTCTATAAATTTATCACCCAGCCCGGATCCTGGTAGCGGTTACCTACCAACCCCCAGGACACTCTCCTTCCTTCTGGCCTTCCTTTCTTCCTTCCTTTCTTCCTTTGAGCTTCCTTTCTTCCTTCCTCTCATCCTTCTGTGCCTCATTTACAGCTTCTGCCCCAACTATCACCGCCTACTAGGAAGGGGAACAAGCATTTATTAAGTACCTCCTAGGTGCCAGGCACTGTGCTAAGTGCTTTACAGAGATCTCATTTGATCCTCACAACAAATGAAGTAGGTGCTATTATTGTCCTCATTTTAGAGTGGAGGAAACTGATACAGCCAGATTGAGTGGCTTGCCCAGGGTTAAGCAGCTAGTAAGTGTCTGAGGCTGGATTCTACTCAGGTCTTCCTGACTCCAGGCCTAGCATTCTCTCATTGCCCCATCTAGGGAGTTTCAGCCTACATGGTGATGCTTTCCCAAGAACCTTATCTTTCCAGTTCCTCAGGCTACTCAGTTGCTATGACTTCCATTCCTTCTCTCCCCACCCCCACCCCATCTTGATATCACCAATGAGTGTTCCCTTTCTGTGTTTACAAACTCTGAAATCCCTTTATCTGATCATAGTCCTTTATCACTGCATCTTTTCTTCTGCCTTGCAACTCTTAACCACTTCCTTCATGCTCATTCTGATCTCTGTTCCATGTACCTTTGAGTTCTTTCCCAAGCTATCACCTCTTGACTTCTCCTGTATTAGTCTCCACTCCTTGACTTCTGTTATCTTATTTTTATACCGTTTTTAAGGAAATGTTATTTTTTTTAATGTGGGGTAGAAATTGCTGCAAAAATCATAGCCGTTTGGGAAATACGTTGATCTAAAGATTACATATCTTTCGCATAGGTGGCCAATCCAGATGGAGACTTTCGACTTACTATTGTCAATTCCTCTTTGCTTGATCGGCCCAGGGCTTTGGCCCTCGTCCCCAAAGAAGGGTAAGTGTCCAATTCTGATGGCAAAAGGCATTACATTGCATGGCCCCTTTGAGTGATCCAAGATGGATGGAGATACATCCATCTTGACATGACAACTCCTGGAATAAGCGTAGTATTTTATCTATACATCTCTTAGTTTTGTGGCTAGAGATTATTTCTAAACTGGAATTGTTTAGAATAACAGAAAATGATATAGTTCATAGGGTTACAGATTTAGGTCTAGAAGAGACTTTAGAGCCCAGCCTCCTCATTTTGTAGATAGAAAAAGAAGCCGATTGAAGAGGAGCAGCTGCTTGCTCAGAGTGATGCAGCTGCTAAGTGTCTAAAGCAGGACTGACACCCAGATCTTTCTGACTTCAAGTCAAGTGCTCTGTCTGCTCTACCACAATGAATAGTGTTGGCCGAGGAACTCTATTCCCTCTTTATTTATGAACTTTAGAATGTGCCCAGTAGTCCAGGTGTCTTATTTGGAGAAACTTTGTACAGTAATAGTTAACTCTTAGTTATCTGTGGTTTATTTACTCTGTGTGTGTGTGTGTGTGTGTGTGTAGGTGTGTGTATACACCTACACACACACACACACACACACACACACACACACAAGCTCCATTTCAAAGCCACGGAAGTTCTTTTGGATTAGTCTCTCCATCATGCCACTGCCATAGCACTGCAGACATTTTTGGTTTCAAATACCAAGCAGGAGGTAACAACAGCTAACATTTATATAGCACTTCAAGGTTCACCTAGTGCTTTCCATATATTAGCTCATTTGAGCCTCATGACAAGCCAGTCAGGTAGGTGCCATCATAATCCCAATTTTATAGATGAGGAAACTCAGCCCGAGAGATGTTCTGTGCTTTGCCCGGGGGTTACCCAGCTAAGTAAATATCTGAGGGATGATTTAAACTCAGGCATTCCTGACTCTCAGGTCCAATACTTTAGCTGCCTATGCCTGGCAGGTTTGTTCTTCAGAAACTTATCTCCGTTGCGTCAGGATTTGAGGGCCCATTTTCACGGTTCTAATGGGGATATTCTCTTTCTTGGGTTTGAAACCAGGTTGATGTTTTGGACTGACTGGGGTGACCTGAAGCCTGGAATCTATCGGGCCGACATGGATGGATCCTCCATCTATCGCATTGTTTCTGAGGATGTAAAGTGGCCCAATGGAATCTCGGTGGATGATGACTGGATCTACTGGACAGATGCATTTCTGGACTGCATTGAGCGCATCAACTTCAATGGCCAGCAGCGCTCTGTCATCCTGGACAGCCTCCCTCACCCTTACGCGATCGCAGTCTTTAAGGTACTTACGTGGATTCTGCCACTGTTGGGCAGACAAGTACTTTACAGAGATTAAAGGGGGCTTGAGGTCTTTGTATCTTAGCTGGGGTTGTGAATCTGCCATTTGGGTCATTTTAAGTCAGCTCTTTCTAATTGCTATAATTTGGATCATCCCTGAATTTGGGGCAGCTGATTCAGGTCCTTTCCAGGATTTGACCCCTTTCCCCTAGTAGGGTAGGCATTGTGACATGATGAAAGACTGAAATGCTGGGGGATGGATCAGGAGACTACTTTTCCTCTCCCTGCTCTCACCCTGCTTGCCCTTCTGGGATTTCCCCAATTTCTCTGCAGTCTGCTCATTCCAAGTCTCCTTAGGAGTATGGGCTGGTCTGCCTGCCACCTTGACACTCATTACTAGCAGGTCTCCAGAGGACAGAGTTTTCCTTCAAACAAGAACAACTCACCTGTTTATAGCATCTTAAGTTTTAAAAAGCAAAACAAAAACAAAAAAACCCAACACTTTTCTCTCCAAAAAACAAAAACAAAAAACCATGAGGTTGGTAGTGCAGGTATTATTATTTTACTGTTATTCACATTTCACAGATGAGGAGATGGAAGCTGCTTCTGATCCCACAGTTAGTACGGATCAGAGGGAGGGCCTGACTCCTGACTCTAGGCCCACCATTCTTTCCATTATCCTGTGCTGCCTCTCCCTTGTAGCAGTTGGTGGGTTGAAGTCTGGGGCATCCCTGCCAAGCTCTTGCCCATACATGTGAAGTTGCATCTGGTGGCTTTAGTTGCTTCCCTTTTAACTGTGCCAAGGGCTTGGAGAGGCATGACAGAATCTTGCTCTTCAGGGCCAGATAAGTCAGTTCTTTTGTGGGGCGTCAGATGTCCACTGTGAACTGGATGGGGCACTCGGCTCTGTCTTGGCTGGGAGGAGGTATGAGAGGGACAAAGAAAGAAAGAGTGAGCCCAGGATATCAGGAACTTTGAGGCTTGATGGACAAAGGAGTCACATTTTCCTTTTCAGAGCGAAATCTACTGGGACGATTGGTCACAACTCAGCATCTTCAGAGCTTCCAAGTACAGTGGGTCCCAGATAGAGATTTTGGTTAGCCAGCTCACAGGCCTGATGGACATGAAGATTTTCTACAGGGGGAAAACCACAGGTAAGGCAGAGGTTTCTTCATCACCTGTTCAGAAGCTGTCCCCAGAGAGGAGCTGGCGGTGGGCAATTTTTTCACCTGAGCAGTAAACGCCACTGTGCATTTTCAGTTGTCACGACGACATATGCATTATTTAATTCTTCCCTAATGACATCTTAATTTCTCTTTTCATGATGTGCAGACAGCTGGAAGACAGCATGATCTTGCCTCTCTGGCTTGCTGGTGTTGGGTGGATAATTACACCCTCCTCCTGCCCTTCACCCCTTTCGGATTGGTGGGGGATGCCTAGGGATGCAGCTGGCCAAGTCTCGGCATGTGGCTTATCCCAGCAGGTGGTGACAGTTATGCAAAGTGACATCAGGATAGGCCCAGGCACTGTTTGCTAGCAGGCCTATTCAGGTGCTGCATTTTGAGCCCTGCATGCTCCTTTTTAGGAAAAGGTAGGAGCCACACAGGGAGGCTTCCCCAGGCCTTTTTGTGGGGATGAGCTCCTTTTCATCCCTATAAAATTTTAGGGTCCCTGGGGGTGGTATTGCCTTCTAGGGAGTGTCAGTGGTGATGCCAGTAATCGTGACAGCTTGAGCCAATATGACATAACAGGACTGCTAGATTTGGACTTGGGTTCGACTCCTAGTTACTGTACTTAAATCATAGGATTTAAAGCTAGGATGACCTTACAGATCGTAGGATCATAGAATTAGAACTGGAAGGAGCGTCATTCTGTAGTTGAGAACACTGAGAGGTGACCTGCCTAAGGTCACTCAGCAAGTAAGTGGCCAAACCAAGATTCACCTTAGGCCCTTTGACTCCAAATCCAGTGCTCTTTCCACTATTCCCACCTATGTTTTATAGACAAGAAATTGTTTGGTTTTTTTTTCTGGGTAATTTAATCATTTTATTAATAGTTCTGGAATGTTTACCAGTAAATGGATGGTCATTTGGCTGTCTCTCTTTTAAGTCAAAGACCAATTTTTTTTTCAATAGAAAAAAAATCAATATCTTTTATTTTTAACATCACCTTCATTTCCCTACGTTTGTCCTCCTTCCTCCACCCATTGTGCCATCTCTTATAACAAAGAATTTTTTTAAAAAGAGAAAAAAAACAGCCTGGCGAAATTAATCAACACAATTGAATCTGTTACTATATGCAGTGTTCCACACTCATAGTACCCCACCTCTACAAAGAAGGGTGGGAAGTATATTCCTCCATGTACTCTTTGAGTCTCAGATTGGTCCTTATCATCACACAGTATCCAGTTTTCTTTTTTTGTGGCTTTTTCTATTTACATTGTTGTAGTTGTTGCATATATTGTTTTTCTAGCTTTGCTTACTTCATTCTATATTAATTTATGTAAGTCTCTCTGTGAATCTCTGTGTTCTTTATGGCCATCATTTCTTTTAGGACAATAACATTCTGTTATGATAATGTACCACAATTTGTTTTGCCACATATTATGTTTTCAGCCTTGTTTTTTATTCGACTTCTCTTCATGAGCTCTATATTCTGGCTAAGATAGACTTCTAGCTGTACCCTGCTCTCATCCTGTTTTCTGCTGCTTCTGTGTATTCATGTAGGCTATCCCAAATGCTGAGAACACACCTCTCCACATCTGTCTGTTGTAAATGTTTGTTGTTGTTTAGGCATTTTTCATTGTGTCTGACTCTTTGTGACCCCATTTAGGGTGTTCTTGGCAAAGATACTGGAGTGGTTTGCTGTTTCCTTCTCCAGCTCATTTTACAGATGAGGAAACTGAGGCAAACAGGGTTACACAGCTAGTAAATGACTGAGGCTGGATTTGAAACATGAAGATGAGTCTTCCTGACGCCAGGCCTGTAAATGTTGGGTCTGTGGTTTCAGCATTTCTTTAGGATCAGCAGTGCGACACGAGTTGTATCTCAGTGGTCTTATCATTATGGACTTCACTAATAGAATGGGTCTCTGCTATTGGAAGGTATCTGTTTCATAGCTTAGAAGACTTCTGGGAAGGAAGACTCAAAAAACACAAGGCATTTGTTATTGGGACTCCCAACGGGTGTCGGTCAGTGCATTGGAGGAAACATATGAAAAAGTGAGCATGGAAGAGCCTGGGGTAATTCTCCTCCTGAGCCTGGGATACTTGCATGGGTCTGATTCTTCCTCTTTAGGTGGCCAAATTCATCCATAGGCAACTGAATTTTTCCAAGCTTTCTTTCGTGGACAGCTCTGTTCCCACTTCCTTAAGTGTGTTCACTAAATGCCTCCAGAAGATAGCAGCTCAGTTGTTAACTGTGTAGTTAGTTGTTAACGGTGTGGTTCTGATTCTGCTGCCTTCCCTGGCTTTGGTGCTAACAAAGTCTCTTTTTTTTCTTTCTGAGGAGACAGTTGGGGTTAAGTGATTTGCCCAGGGTCACACAGCTAGTCTGTGTCATGTGTCTGAGGTCACATTTGAACTCAGGTCCTCCTGACTCCAAGGCCATGGCTCTATCCACTGCGCCACCTAGCTGCCTCCTAAACAAAGTCTTTCTTGATTGATCTGAACGTGGACAATCTCTATACGTCTTGGAATCTTTCTTGTACTTTGTTTACACCTCCTCTTTGCTGCTTGAATACTTGAATCATACTTAGTTTTTAAATATATCTTATCCTTCCTCTTACATTGAAATTCCTTGCTAGCAGGGATTGTTTTTCAAGTTTGCGTTTCCCAACAGTACATTGTGTTTCACGCATAGCTTAGTAAATGTTTGAATTGTTTGAGAGAATTACATTGCCTTTAGTAGCCTTGAAGACTTCTAATTACTTCATAAGATTATCTCTACTAGAAATGTAGGACCAGAGTGGATGGGACAAATGGTTTATATCTTTACTTCCTCCTGAAATCCTGCCCAACCTCCTCACTTCCTATTGACATCATACCCATACTCAGATCAGGTTTCATTTTTCTCCATGAAGCCTTCTCTAGCCAAGATAGTGCAAAGAGATCTCTCTTTCTTCTGAACCTGTGACAAAACCCTGTCACTTGTTTGGCTGGGTTCTTACTGTTCTGCACCCTTAGCTGTCTTTATGTATCTTAACTTCCCACATAGATTGTCTGCTCATCAAGGCCAGGGAACAGGATTTATATTTCTCTGAAACCCCTCTAAGTCCTAGCACAGAATCTTGCTAGGTTTTTTTCATTGGATGATTTATTTATTATTATTATTTTTTGGTATTTAGAAAAATGCTGAGTACATAGTATATGCCCCATAAATAAGGGATGAATTGAGTTATTGAAGAAAGTTATGTGATGACTCCAAGGAAGCAATTCATAAAAAAATGTTTAGACTGGATGGGAACTAAAGTAATTGAGAGCCTAAAACTGCAGGAGGGCCAGCCCTGTTACACTGAATTAAGTATCTTCATTATCACTACCATCAATTCGTGATCTCCTTGAAACTTATCAAAGAGTTAATGTGTATTCGGGTCTGGGGAGCTAATGAAATATAACGTGTTGGGAAAGTCACAATATCTCTAGGCCTTAATTACCTCATCTTGTCTATTAGGGGGTGAGATGAAGATGTTAGAGAGTATGATAAAACCTCTAGGTCCTCTTCCAGGTCTGGGAATCCACAAACATGCCTCACAATTTCGCCAAAGGTCAGTCCTGCTTTAGAGCACAGGGCTGAAGACTTTTTTTTAAATCACTAGACCCTTTATATATTATTTTGAAATCATAGAAATTGGGTGAAGTGGTAAAGCTTACTTTTGTGGCATAGTTTTAGAAATTGAGCAAAAATGTTCCATTATAAGAAGGAAGATGAGAATATAACTAGAACTCAGAAGAGACAAGGACTGGGTTCAGGCATCCTTCACACAAGCTTAAAATATAAAAAAAAAAATGCAGTGATTTGACAACAGCTTCTAGCCCCCTACTTCATTCGCAAAATACCTTGTGGAACCCACTGAGTTCCATGGAATGACATTTGGATGACCCTACTCTCAAAAATGCTGCCTAATTTTAACTGGGTACTGTATATCCTGAGATGCTTATCAAAAGCAGACTGACAAATGAACAAATAGAAGATAGCCTAGTCTTAGAAATGATATGACTAGCTGTGATTCTGGGAAGTTCTTTGTTCTCTGAGTTCTGTTGTTCACTCATATTATCTAAAAAGGCACCTTTTTATGCTGAAAAATATTCAGGTGCTATTGATCCTCTGTGAAATTAATTTCTGAACTTCTGCATGGGTTATAATCTCCAAGTTGGTGAATTCTTTCAAAATTTTTAAAAAATCTTTTGTCTCTATGTCACCTTCATTTTGTACTACATACCTCCCCTCTCTCCCACGCATAGAACAATCCCTTAAAACAAAGGAGAAAAAGCAAAAAGGAACTAAAAAACAGTAAAACTAACCCATACAACTGCCAAGTCCGACTGTCCAGGTAGTTCTCCACACCTGTAGGCTTCTACTTCTACAAAGAAGGTTGAGAGATAACATTCTTAAAGCTCTATTTGAGCTCCAAGTCTGACCATCATAATTACCTGTGTTCGGTTTCTGTTTTGTTGTTCTTCTTTCCATTTAGCTTATCGTAGAAATGTATGTAATTTTTCTTGTTCTGCTTACCATGTTTTGTATCAGTTCGTTTAAGTTTTGCCATGTTTCTCTATCCATCGTGATCATCATTCTTTATGCTACGATAGTATTCCATTATATTGATGTACCACAATTTGTTTAGCCATTTTCCAGTTGATGGAGGTCTATTTTGTTTCAGGTTCTTGGCTACTACTTTAAAAAATGCTTATAAATGTGTTTTCCTGTATCCTGAACTTTTCTTTTTATCTTTGACCTCTTTGGGGTGTATGCCTACCCATGAGATCCCTTGGTCAAAGAGAGTATAGACATTTTAGCCTCTTTTTTAGCAATAATTCCAAATGACTTTCCAGAATGGTTGTACTAATTCACAGCTCCACAGTATATTAGTATGTTTGGTCTCTTTCCACAATCTTTCCAACATTAACTATTCTCATCTTTTGTCATCTTTGCCA